AGATCAACTCCGTCTTCTCATTGTTCTATCGAAATAATAATATTGTTGTGTGAATATAATATGTAATAAGGAGGGTGTTATCAAGGTTATTACGGTAAAATAATAGGGAATAATGAATGCGAAGATTAAGATAGAGATAATCAAAAATAATGATAATAAGGGAAAAAATTATATAAATGAAAATAAAGGAAGGGGGTAAGAGGTTAATAATATTCAATCTAGGTGTTCGGTGATCCAGTCGTAGGCCAAGATAAACAAGGAGGCTGGATATATTTTTTATGGATTCATAAATTTGGTCTTCTTGAGTTGATCCAGATGGCTTCGGCTATGCAAAGCAGTCGTAATCTAGATCCTTGAGGTAGATATTTTGGAACTTGATATAAAACAGGGAAAGCCTCCTCTATTTTGATATGATGCTCACTATCTACCAAGTGAGAAAGAATGGTGCTGTTAATCGATGGGTAACTCCTTTTCCCAACCATCCTGGTACATGTTCACGAACACGCAAGGATAAAGCCCTCTGAGTACGGCCTATGTAACTAGCTCCTCAGGAGCAGTTGAATTGGCGTCCAATGAAGTGAACTGTTGTGACTTTATGGCCCGGCTAATTATCACGCAATCTATTCGCCAATCAAAATACGACTTATTCGCGCTTATACTGTACTAAACCAATGGCGTGCGACCGGTCTGATCAGCCTAGCGTCCTACTGGTCCGTTGCTTTCCTAACCCGTCCAGCTGAGTCCAGAATGCCAATAACAGCCTACACTATGAGAATCATTTATTTTAGATATACTGGGTTTATATATCAAACAAACAGACTGCGATGCACCGTAAAACAGGAAATAATATTCGTACAAAATATTGCCAGAAAGGCTGTGAACGTGGGAGACAGTAATTAATAAACTGAGTATAGATCGTACAATAATAATCTATAGGTTAGAACGAAGCTTATAATAAGGGGTATATATATATAATCTAGCTACTAAATAGTTATACAATAAGAATATATAGATAATGGTAGTTCATTAATAGGTCTCCGAAGATACCCGTAATTTGATCTTCACTAGGATATAACATGACCGGTATTTCAAGTTCTGCTATATCATACTTTGGCATTCATTAGTCTGTAGTGACTCACATTTATCACGAGAACACGACTGGTTTAACAAAAACAATTATTATTATAACCAACTGTACCAGTGTTTGTTTTAATGTGCTTATGTTTAACTGTGCTAATTATGGCCATTTTGTGCTTCCATTACCTTCCATCATTGTTCCGCGGTTTTTGGTACTGTTCACACGTACTCCTTTCTCCTGCTTCCACTTGTACCATTCCTTGGCACGATCTTGGTATTCGTTCAATACCACGAGATCGCCAACCAAATAAATCTGGTTACGTTCAACCTTCGCCTTCTGATTTACTTGGCACGTGTTTCTTGGTAGCGGTGTTCATAGTTGATCTCAACTCGACGCCACGCTACAAGTCCTTCTAAGTTCCATATGACCTAGCAATGTTAACCAACTTAAATGTAAATGTGGTGTTTTTATGAACTAATGATTCTTTTGTACTTGATGACTGTCTGATTTGAAATTTCAAATACAATGCTTTCGATAGTGCTCACTTAGTTCTATTTGGCCTGAAGTACTTTATTTCTGGGATTCCCATTTCCTATAATAATTCAAATACTTCTAACCATTATAGTAAAAATCCAATTTTTCTCAGCAATTCTGTTCAAATCTTGTCTCATGTTAATGAGATGTGATTTACTGGGGTTATACGCAGTGTTTTAAGGCCTTAGTAACTATAGTGTTAGTTGTATCTACTGTCTTTTTCCCGTCCATTTAATGGGGGAATGTTACATAATCGCTATGTAATATTCATATTTTCATTTTTACAGCTTCTGATATTACCAGTGAAAGGCTGCTATTGTAGCGAACAAGAACACCAGTGGGGACAATCAAATGTATTTGACACAAAATTACAGGACTTGTTGATGAAATCTAACAAACAAATATTAAACACGTAATTTGCAAAATGTCCATCAATTGTCTCATAATGACTCAGACTTCATTGCTCTTGCGTTTTCATACAAATTGCACTCTGTTCCCATTCTTTACTGTTCGATTATCTTGTTTCTCTGCTGCCAGACATTCTGTTGTCCACGAGGGACGTCATATACTACTCATGTCGATATAAGTAGCACACACCACACCATGAACATGGTGTAGAGCCAGTGAAATGCCACTGAGCCCTAGCCAGACCATCTGGGTCACTGGATTTCGAACAGATCATCGATCCCTGTCAAAGTCTAGCACAACCAACTTGGGGTTAATCGTACGCACCGGACTGGCATATGCGGTGGTGATCACACTTTCGCATGTACCTACTTTAAATAATATATTCCTGTAATAAAGTTCTTTGTGTTGTACGCTCCTCAAATCATCCACAGTACCTTGATACGGCCCAGGGGTAATCCACTTTGGGTGCTGACCGCAAGGTGTGACTTCAACGTTAGCTGTTGGCCACATTATTCCTGTCTAACTCGAACAGGTCCCCAATCACTCGACAGAGATCATCAATGATGATGATCTACAATGGCATTGCAGATCAGCTAAAAATACAAAGTGAAAAACGAGAACACTAAAAGTTATGGATTGAAATAACATTTTTAATGAAACATACACTCTAATATGCAGTAACGACCGACTCAGTGAGGGGAAAATATATAGATTTAGGGCAAATTTCTACTGTAACATAGGTAAGTGATGTATACATTCCAGTTAATCACAGTGAGAGGTTTAAAATCACAAAATTTATTTTCCTTCATTGTAACTGCTTTTTAATGACTTACTAGCTGATGAAAATTTCAAAAACGTCTAAATAATGTGCGGGGTGTAAGTAATAGAACATTTGTAATGCGAAGTGTTCTTACGTTTGTTGTGATCTATTATAATGTTGACAACACAAGTTTATGTGATGATTAGAAGTATTTGAATTATTATAGGAAATGGGAATCCCAGAAATAAAGTACTTCAGGCCAAATAGAACTAAGTGAGCACTATCGAAAGCATTGTATTTGGAATTTCAAATCAGACAGTCATCAAGTACAAAAGAATCATTAGCTTATACAAACAGCACAACATCACAGCCTAACTTGAAACCTAAGTTTCTGTAGTCGATTGTGTGTCTTCCACTTAAGTTCATTGAATGCCTGTCAGATTGCGCATTTCATACCAACTCTATGATCTAGAATATACCTATTAGTAACACAATGTAATCCCAATTCAGCGTACTTTAAACCAAAGTTCATATTTGAATGTTGTTTGCTTTTTACTCCATTCGGGACTATCACTAATTGTTGATATCATTACGAAGTTCTGACTGGCATCTCTGCAAACATGGATCTTAATAATCTTGGGAAGTTACCAATTGACAGATCACTGTGAGAAGCGGATATTTTGTTCAAGAAACAACTTAGTAGTCGGGCCATTGTTCTCCTCTTAGTGCCCATCAATGCTCGTGTTAAAGAGCCCTACATCAACAAAGTTTTCATTCCTTTATACGTCCATTCTTTTGATAACATCCTTATCAAAGATCTAAGCTTACAGCGTTCTCAGGCCGTGAAAAGTTGGAAAACATTTGTCTTTACACTTAAGCATAGTTAAAGACCTTATCATGTTGAAGCGTAGATTGATTTTACATGGTTTTAAGGTCAAGTCACTTAAGAGACCGAAGAAACGAAACAGCAATTTTGAAGGATGTAATACTTGCTTAGAATAGACTTAAAAGATACATTTTTACGAGTTTCGTGAGATGAAGTTTCGAGCGAGCTAACTACTACCTATTCACTGTTCTGATGGTTTAGATACGACTTCTTACTTGTTGGACTGATGTTCTTACCTGATACAGTTCAGAATGTTATAAATCAGACTGTTAAAGGTTCTAGTGGTACTGAATCTTATCACGATTAAATCGTAGTTCACATTGTAGAACTGTTATGTGGTTCTTGGAGTTACTTGAACTCCTAAGTGGCATATATATTTCTGTAAGGCCATAGCAACAACTAAGTTGTCGTAGACCATCATCAAAAGTCATCCACGAGGCCGAACATCTGCCGAACTAGAAGATTTACATTGACCGTTGGATGTTTGATAAAAAAGTAGTAAATATCAGCGCACATCTATGCGGTCGAATCATAGAGATTTTATGGATCTGCCCTTCAGGAGTAGTCACTGCAAATCCTTCCTCTTTATGTTCAATTCTTTTTCTACCACCATACGGAATATGTATTTTTACAAGTACTCACTAACGATTGCACTGACTACCACGACAGAAATAATCAGCGGACTTCGACGCAATATTAAATGGACTAAGTACTCAAATCATGGTAAGTACACAATAATGGATTAGATCTGTTAGTTTAGTTGCACAAATAAGTGCACTAGTACCGATATTATACCTAAGTTCCACAAATCCCTTCACGTGCCTAGTTCAACCTAATTGTATCAACTGTCTAAACTATATTATAGAGGCAGAAAGTTTAAACGTGACGTGAGTCGTCTAGTCCCACTTATTCAAGCACTAAGAATTCCCCAGAATTCAGTAAATTGATTGATAGTCTTTGATGTTACTACAGATGAAACATATATGTTTACAGTTTAATTTTCTCTGAGTCAGCATGGAAACAGTGACACAAAGACATCAAGAAAACTTTGAAGTTCCTAGACCAGGAAGCTTTTTTCGGGTCAGTTTGACCAGCTGAACACTACATCATCACTATAGTAACATCACCACTGTGGATAGGTGCACTCCGGAAACAGAAAGGGAGAACTGTAACTACTAATACAGAGCTACTATTATTCTCAACAGTTTCTTGGACATTATGTGTCTTCTTTGTCTTACGTTCCAGTTGTGCTTTAATGTTTGAACACTTTTTCTCAAGGTTTTCTATACTTTCGTTTGGGAAGCGCGTTGTCCAGATTACGAAAGATCACAGCAATGTCCAACAAGCGTCCTTCATTAGTCCCTCAGAAAGGACCTGGTTCTTTTAAAAAACCAAGGTAGTTTTTGTACAGTGATTTTGTGCAACGTTTAAGCCTACCAAATGTAGATATCGTGGTAGTTTCGAGATAAAAATATTTCATCATTAGCATCGAGAGTACACGTGCGTGTAGCCAAACTCATATGTGATGGACCTAACATCATTAAAAATTAAGGGTTATTTAGTGCTTAGTACCAGTCTTGTTGAAAGTAAGGTCTGCACGTTCATTGGAAAACCCTTGTGTGACTCTGGAAAAATGCATCTTGAGTCCAAAAATTTTTGTTACTATTATTATTAACTAGGATTAGGGTTGGGAGTTAAAAGTTAGGGTTAGGATTTATAGTTGATTTTTCATCACGAACTGACAGTTATGATGTCGAAGTGCTATTTAACCTAACCAGTGGGTGAACTAGTCCCAAAGTCCAAAGCTCGTTTTCTTTTATCTGATTGGTTCGCCCATAAACTATTACCTCGCCCGTTTTTACTGTGCTAAATAATATGGCTTGATTTGGGTTCTCATCTCGTGACACGACTTGACCCTTTTTATCTTTAAGGCTCGTACGAGGCAGTCAGTAAAAGGGTGTTTCGAATTTCTTGCAATGCAGTTGAACCGACGCTTTTACAGTATTAGACCAAATCCAAAGTTTCTTCGACAGTGATTTTGGTTGGATAGTGTTCCATAAGTATTATGGTGATCAGTAGTGAAGGTGATGCACCACATCCAGGTTTGGCAAGTAAATCAATACAGTTACTTAAGCTTACAACAGGTGAATCAATCTAACCTGACCAATGTGTCATTGTGTGATAAGTCACGGATTTGTTGGTTAATAGGCTTGCTTAGGTTATGATTAATTATATCAGGATGAATTATACAGACTAATATCAGTTTGACAGTAAGATTCAGTTCGCATTAACTGAAATGTTCATTTCTCTTCAACCAGAGGTAACCACGATGATACCCCAGAGCCCTCAAAGTTCGAGCAGGAACTAATGTTGTTGGATGACATCGAGACTGAAGATATAGCTTTGGTGGACGAAAGTTCTGCTTTGTCTCATTTAGACTTTCTAACGAATTCGCATTGGCCAAGACGTAGGTTGGAGAAGTTGGATCCAAATAAGGACAGTATTATTTTCCAGCAGTTTGATGTGTCACATTATAAAGTTAGTTTTAAAAAAACATTTTATTGTACTCCAAACATACCTTTTTCGAGTCTAAGAGTTGAAATTATTGTAAATAGTTTGATTTATTAGGCGATCGTAATTTCTACTTTGTACGTTCATACCACCAGTCAATTAACACACCACTCGTCAAATCACTAAATTACTTGAACAGAAGACAATTTCCATGCTGTTTGTATTGTTTTTCATATCATTTAAGCCTGATAGATTATTTCTTTATTGCCGTCATCAATTGGTGTTTTGAATAGCTTTAATTAATTTCTTCGATTCAGTTATTCAGTAGCTATATGTGACTCGTTTGCGATCTTTATTGTTGAGGATTTGCATCTGTATAATGTTGTCTTCATTTTTCATTATCTTGTAGGTGTTTTAATGAAATACTTTGCTTAGTAACTGTCGTTTCAGTGATATGTAGTATAAATTCAGCCTTTCTGAGTTTTATACTTGTTGATAGTCATTTACTGTTATGACCTTGATTTTCTGCCCATTACTTTGTATGTACTACAAAGAGTTCGTCGCAAACTAGGTTTAGGGATTGATATGCTAGGTCACGTAGTAGCTACGAGACTCGTAACGCATGAGTTTCATTTATGACTGAAGGCCTTGAGGTTGTAGAGAATAGTTATCATACAACTGGTTAGTTGGCAGGCGGGAGGAAAAGACGATTTAGCAGGAACTATTGGAATGAGTAATAACACAACTCAGTAAGTTGATGCGAATTCAGGGTATTGAACAATAAGTCACAATCCACGTAACAAACTCGGAGTCACTTTGATGCATTGAATAGATTTGAATTCCAACTGTCGAGTTGTAAGCAAGAAATTCAAGTTATCTATTTCTTTATTGACATCCATGTCTTCTCACTGACTCTTGTACAAACAGTGCGATTCAGAAATTACCTATCACACATGTTTTATTCTGATTTATCATTATAATCTGAGCAGGTCTGTTATTTAGAGGCTAGACCACTTTGGGTTGGAAATCTTTTTTCTACATCTGCGTTACTTCCTTTCGCCTTATAAAAATTTATCTTACCATAGTGAATTAAAGATAAATGTTCCAGGTCTAGATGGTTGTGTTCATTCCTGAGAATATGTAACGACATTAATCTGTAGTCAAACTTAAAATGTACATCTCAATGTTTTACATGTTAAAATATACAGTCCGATAACTTGATATGTATTTACTTCCCTAGTCCTGGGTTTCTGTTTCATCCATCGAAGGCTATACGTTATATTTTATATACAGCTTGTGTATCTACTCAGTTCATGGAAGTTAATAAGGCTGATGGCTCATGTGTATAGTGTTGTTATTTTCTTTCGGCACACATGCCGAACTACAATATGTTTTCGGTGTGAAATGATGTGATTCAAAAATCCTGGCACTTGTGAAACGTTAATCCGATAATACGATAGAGTAGTAGACTAGGATGCTTGCCATTGATCATTCATTCTAATTCACACTGTTCCCGCTATTCTCCAGGTACCTCGAGTTAGGAGCCGAATTTTAGTTGGGTCTTGGTTACTTTTCACTTATTTAATTTTCAGTTTCTATTTCACCTACTTATAGTGCCCTACCTCATTTTTTCTACATATATATTGTATTACATAAAAATACACTGTTCTCCATTATGTTTACGAAGTTGATTCGCTTAATGTAATTTGACAAGAATTCTAACAAGCAGCGTACAGTTTACCGTAGAACCTTACCTGGACGGTCAAAATTACCCATAGAATTTTCACAAATTCTTTTTCATCAAGATATATTACTGTAATAAAAACGATTTGAATTATGATGTCTCTTTCTACCTTTGTCAAGTATTCACCGTTTGACAAATAGTCCTAGAGTAGGACATAATTTTCCAAGTCATATGCTGTTTTCATACATGCTACACTGTGTCTGGAACTTACGAAATGTTATGTATTTATGTATAGTTGACGAGTTATTCAGTCGACTTAACAAGTAATATTATTAGTTAGTTGCTAAGAAACAGGTGAGATATATTTCCTTAATAAAAGGTTTTGAAGTTCACATAGATTTTGAATGATGCTTTTGTTTTCAAACAATTAATTTAAAAGTATTGTTGATTGATCTATTTTCTTTAAGCGTACTTAAATCGTAATTTTAAATTGACTGGAGCGGTTAATACATATGTTACTCATCCCTGACCATCCATATGGAATGTCGTTTGACAATAGAAATATTATTGTTCTATGATAATCTGTTGTGTTCATGAATGAAGTCTTTTCTTTCATGTTAAACTCGTTTTGTATTACATGTTATTAATACGGATTTGCGTAGTTTTTTTTGTAGTCAGAAAACTATTTCACAAGGTTGTAATGATTTATCTTGTTTTCCAGGGTGAACACCTAACTGGTATGCCTGGTGCTACTCAAGGTCCTGTACCAATTATACGTTTGTTCGGTATAACTGAAAAGGGTCATAGTGTATGTGCGCATGTGCATGGTTTTCTACCATATTTCTATGTACCAGCACCGAAAGATTTTTCAACGATCATTTGAATGCTTTTCGTGAAGCCTTAAATTCTATGTTATTAAAAGAGAAGTCAAAAGAGTTTGAAGGATTGCAACACCTCGTACTTAGAGTTACATGTGAAGAGAAACGAAGTAAGTCATTTAATTGATATTTGAAATGCTATTCCTTTATTTTCCATCCTACTGCGTTTTCTTTTTGAACGTTACAACAGTATTTGATACTTGCTTTTTTGATATTCCTAAGCTTTTTACTTAGTGATAAAGTTGACTCTGAATGTTCTGATTTTCCTGGACGTTATTAGCTAAGAACGTTTTTCTTTTAAATCGTGATCATATTAAGTGGTTTAGGCAGTCAGTTATACTCAACGTTAACCTTGACACATGTCCATCGGTTCAAGTTGCGATACCAGATTATCGCGGCAAGGTAAAATCATTTCAAGACTAATCACAGAGTAGTGGGATTAGTAACATTATCAGTAGTAGTACCAGAAATGTAGTGAGCGGAAACTCAGGTGGGGAAAACTAATTTATTGTTTAATGCAGAATTACAGTGTCTTGGTCAAATATGGAAACCATACATTAAATACATTATTTCCACATTTTTTCGCGTTGTCCCTTACATACTTTATTATTCCTCTAATTCTGTTATTATTTTGGTTGCTCTCCAATTTTCTTTATGTTCTCTGCATTCAATCTTCCGCTAACGGGCATTCCACTTCCTAATGTTCTTACATACCACTTATGTCGTTCAGCATAAGTAGCATACACCGCAGTAGTAGGAAAGATTTAGTACAGAAAAATAAAGTATACGATTTCAGGATTCGAGTTATTAAGGAAGGGTGAGTGAACGTACTTCATTGAGAACGATCCTAAGAAATGTCACCCAAAGCCTTTAATAATTGGTACGATAATCACTCAAATCCCAACCAGTTAGTTACACTATTAACATGGCTCAGTTCAGCTATAATGACTTCAATTACTGATACCCTATATTGATTTGATACTCCTAACTTTCTTTCAACCAACTCCCACACCAGATAACATCGCGTGTCGTCGATATAGGCGGTTGTTGGATCTACTCAATACACTTGCCAACGAGTTCATTTAATAAAGATCACTACCTCATGAATCGATTTGTCGTACGTACGTAGTACTTTATACCTGACCTGAGAATTGCTCACTGGTTTGTCTGAAAAGATATGAGTGATGCTTGAAAGAGAGTTATGATCGAATACTCTTAGTCTATGGAAATCCTCGATTGTAGGTGGTCATGTTTGTCAGTAATGAAATAGAACGAGTTAAACTACTATGCTATGATTTGGTCCTTTAGTTGCTTACAATTAAATGTGTTGCAACCATCTCACAAATCAAATATTTTAAAATGATTCATTCCAGATACAGACCATCATGCAGTCTCTGTTTACCAATAAACCATGTTGGATAAAGTGACAATATTTGACTCTGGGTAAGGGGACATATTCGCTGTGTTTAGTCTTTACTCCTACAATTGATACTAACTACTATTATTATGATTCCAACTTATTTGTCTTGCATTCCATCAGTTTTGATTTTGCTGTGTCGATTTAGTGTTGCAACTTTGATAAATACCCATGTATACCAGATTTTATAGCTGACCGACTGATATATATTGTTAGTTGATGATAGATATAGAATGGCATAAAACTCGACATCTTTAGTTAATAATATTTATTAAACATATTTATGAAGTATGAGAAGTTTTGTTTTCAAATACCCTGAAGGCCATTTCTTTTTCTTTGCGATACTCTTCAATTTTGTACGGTTATTGTGACAGAACATAGTTTTGAGTGGTTGACAGTAGTCGACAAGAACCCCTAGATCAAGACCTCATTACGTGAGGGCTCAGATGCAACAAGAAGTCATACGTTTCCTCAATACTGCAGGTATGCCTTACTAACAAGTACCAGCTAGCACAAAATCTAGATACCCCCCCCCGACTACATCGTACAATGCAATACTCACAATATCGACTAACTTAGAGCAGTAGTTACACCCTAGCTTAATTCATGGAATTCGATCAGTACCAAGGATAAACGTGGTACTAATTCACTTCTCAGTGGTCAAGCAATAGTGAGCTACCATAGTTTTGTCATAACATATGTTAGTTTAAGCGCTCAATAACACAAATTGTGATTTCCTAATAATACGAGTTGTTTCAAACCGATATTTGTTATAACTTCCATAGATGTATATGGTTTTCATGGAAATCGTAGTCTACCATTTCTTCGTATTACTTTGGCATTGCCACGTTTAATTGCACCAGCTAAACGTATATTAGACAATGGTTTATCATTTGCTGATTATTCATTACAGGTTAGTTTATAGTTTAAATGGTTTCTTTTTTTGTCAGTGTAATTTATTAACATGATTATCTACTTTTTATAATGCCCAATTAGTATCTGTTATAAATCTCTTTTCTTACGGTTATGACCCAGCTATTCCTATTGCTTGGTATTCTCGGACACCGATTCACTCGACAAGTCCCCAAATCAAAACACGGTTGAACAGGAAGTAGATTATATTCCAAATAACAAGGTTAGATGGAAGTCAGAAGCATTTTTTTTTTTCAATAGAGAAAACGTCAGTATATTTATAGTTTTTTCCATGAGAAGATTCTAGAGTATTCTCCAACTATCGACTAGTGCTGATTGGATAAGAATTAGCCAATCAGCGTGCACCAAAGCAATCGTGAATTGAGCATGCTTTAATCCGGTCTATGTCCCGCTAACAGTATCATATCTGTCTCCCCAATCCCCTTATTAAGTGAGATAAGGTTCGAAACTTTTTATTCGGAATTCAAATATCAAGTATAACCAGCAGTCGAGTTATCTTTCTATCAGGCTCAGAACGTTCAAACTAAAAGGAAGGGGTTATTTTTGGCCCCATAGAGTAAAAATAAGTGTTAACGAAAAAAAAGTTCAGTTTTTCCTGTAGATTGTTTATACCAGGAAAATTAACACCATACTTAAATCATATCCTTAAATTCCTAATCCTGAAGTATTTCTTAACAAGCTGGCTCTATATCGGCGAGACTCTAATTTGTGGACGAGCCAATCAAAGGCGTTTTAAAGATTTCAAGGTTACGGCCACAACTTCAGTGCTTAATGCTAACGTACTATCGGTTCACAGGGAATTTTGTACAAAATGTGATAATTGAGCGGCTATAACAAATAAAACGGCGGGACTATAATTTGTGGACGAATCAACCAGGTATAAGATAATAGATCTCGGATTTTAACGCGAAAGCCTTTCATCCATTTGGCTAAATAAATTTCTGGCATTATAGCTGATGTCAGTTCATGATGAAAACCCCATATATAATTCGTAACTAAGGCAAATTACGACAATTATTACGAACTGGATAAGAAAAGCACGAGTAACATTGGCTGCAGTCAGGTACTACAATATATACGGATGTTTGGAGAGCGTACAGACTCCTACATAGTCTTGGTTATGTGCATCGTGTCGTTATCCACAAGTAGCATTTTGTGCACTCAACAACCGGAGTGCACACAAACAATATTGAAGCTATGTGGTCGAGACTGAAAGAGTATTTGAAACTTTATCATGGCTCGAGAGGCCGACTATTCTTTAGTCGTATGGATGATTTCCTTTACTGCATGCATTACGATTTTAGAACCTCTGAACCTCTTTCCAACCCTGACAAGTTTTTGAACCACGTATAAGAAATGTATCCACTTTATTTCCTTGGTTTTGTATAACATATTTTTACTCTATACTGACTGTTTGCTGATTGGCTAATATTTCTCAAGGTCACTTAAGATTCGTTCAAAGGTTGTCCATAAATTAGGGTCTTGCCAAAAAAAATTTTTGCATTAAAGTTGATGTCAATTCATGATTGAAACCATAACCTTTAATCCTAATTCTAACCAAGAATAGTTTGGTTATTCCTTAAAAACTTATTTACGTCCTTTTAAGAGTTCCAGCATATGGACACCACATTCGATTTAAAGTTAGATCAACTTGTAGACCACTTTAATCGATTCATTGTTTATGCAAAATCTGTTTACACTTTGTAATTTTATTATATTCTTTACCATAAACTATTTCACTTAGCTGTTTTCTAGTTGACTAGTAGCTAACTAGAAATTCGTCATGGTTTATTTAATCTCATCCCCATGTTTATTCCGGTTCTGATTACCAGTGTGAGATGCTTGACTGAGTTTAAAGAAAATCTCTTTTTGAAATTCATTTCATATCTTTCCTCCGGTAGAAGCGATTGCTTAATAATTAAAGCACTGTTTTCAGTAGCTTGGTCACACGTTCCAACTTGCATCTCATCTACTTCATTTAGAGCATAACCAGGTAGTTTTACAAGCCCTTAATATGTCCAAAAGCTTATACCGTAGATTTATACATGATAATTTAGTTACGTTAATCAATATTAATCAATTGATATCTACAACCATACCAGGTTTATGTGGTAATCAATTGCCCGTCATCTATAGTCTCTCCTAATAATGAGCTGGTTTGTGGACACTTTGGAGTAAATCTTTGCAAAGTTATAAACTTAATTTATTTCCCGCTATGTATAACATATTAGTTTGTAACCTGTTCTGCTGTACGTATCTTGGTGATGTCTTGTATGGAGTAATCCATGTTGGAATAGATCAAATTATTTTAATACCATGTTAAAGAATCATATGTAGAGTATATAAGACATTTAACACCATGATCTTTATTGGTTTGATGGTGTAGTAAAGGCCATTGCAGCTCACCTACATTTGAGTTTGTATATGTTTCGTTTTGTTAAGCCCTTCAATTAACTTATTAATAGGCAATGTCGTTAGGTCAGTAAGAATTCGTCTATAACTTTGTAGTAGTATTATTATCATGTTTGTATGAGCATGTATTTCTGACCACGTGTTACAACCCACATGCATACTTCTCTTACTAGTTGGTATATTAGTTACTTAGATCTCTCAATGACTTATTCTCTTTCATGTATATATGTGATTTTTAGATCATAATAATTCATTCGTTCGCTATTGTATTTATTCGCATTCACATTTATGTTCATATTCCTTTTGTGTGTTTGTATTTTTGTGATATGCTCTGTCCAATAATAAACTGTAGTCAACACTTCGTATTGTCTACTGAAACTTATACATTGTTGCGAGTTATGAAGTAATATTTATCACGATGAGTGGTTTACAAGTTATTAGGAATTATTCAAAGGTTTTCCGCTATAAGATATTTCAAATTCCAAACATTTGTATACTTTTTCACCAGTTGATTCAAAATTAAGGTTAAGAATTACTCAGAAAAGTTTAGGATCAAACTATGGTAGAAATCCGTCAACCGAATAATTAACTGATCTTCAATAATTTGTAGATGTGTCTAACTTTTCATGTTAATAAGTAACCAAGATCAAATCAATCAATTTTAATCAACATTCAGTTTGATACAAATGTGCGTTAATTCCTCAAGAGAGATGACTTAATATTAGTATTACTATTATCGACAATGATTACCCATTAAAGAATACTATTTGAATTGAAGGACTAAATTCTCTGAATAAAAAATACGAGACTATCTTGAAGTCCAAGTCTTGTGTGAAGATAACAACATTTATTCCATTATGAATGATCCAGAGCCATGCCACTCAAAGTTATCGCTCAGACCATAAGTAGACAGTCTGCATCTACCTACATAGCGCGATTCCAATGATCAGTGACTTTATAGACTGATGTAATGTCTTCGTTTGGATAGCTTTATTTTACTCCCAACCTACTCTTAAACTGATGAGCATAGTATATCTAGGTAAGTAGCCCCCAAATGCCCTGGTACGGCCGAGAGTGAGGAGAGTCCGCTCTCCCTCTCGAAATGCTCTCACATGGCCACGCGTATATAGCCTCTTCCAGGGAAGTCCTACTCACTGCCTTCTCGTGGCGGGGGTGTTGTTTACGAAAATGAGAGGACGAAAAGCGAATGTCCGGCGCTTTAACCGGATTCCAAACCAATGGTGCACATGGGCTCCAGTATCCTGCGGGAACAAATGGCGTATGAACCAATTGTTGGTCACCGGCTACCATGGGACTGCATCTCCTTACGATGCTCCACTGCCTTGTGGATTAGACCTTCAGGTCGAAGGCTTGGGGTGTGGCCCCTCAAGAAAACCACCTGCTTCGGTTTGGGCACCCGGACAGTATCACAGCCCTTACATGTATCGAATGAGATTTGTGTGGTGCATATGTATTTGGTGCCTGATTGTACCAATGTTTATGTGTTAAAATAAATAAATAAGGTAGGAGTTATGCTTATGTAATACATGCCTCAATCGAAGATTATTTTAGGTGTCATCAGCTAGTTTATCGTCGTTACGTATACCATACATTTGACGTCAACACTATCCATTCTGTTGCTCTGTGATTCTCGAGCAGCGCTTTAAAGACACTTATTTTTGAGAACTTGTGGGCTAAACATATCTTCTATTTTCATAGACTATGTTTCACAGCCATAGAGCAATACAGACCAGCAGTATTGATTTATATGTTGAACACATCTGTTTTATAAATGCTAGTAATAATGTGAAACTGCTCAAACCTCGAAATATGAGGAATAGGGTTCAAATTTGTTGTCTAGCATTTTGAAGCCGAGTGGTTCAACCACTAAGCCTTCACTCCAGAGTAGCTCGTTCAAGAAACCCAATAATATGACTGGGAAGGAAATCAGTCTCACCTTCAATCAATAGTACTTTCTGTTAATTCTTACTGGAGAGCATAACTTATTTAGCAAGTATAGGTTTTTTTGTGTAGGTGACTTTGAACCAAACTGTTTACTTGGACGTTAGTACTATTTTCCCATTTATTTTGTATGTCACTGATGCATATAAGAGTGTAGTCTTCATTCATTCATTCATTCATTCATTCATTCATCATTCATTCATTCATTCATTCATTCATTCATTCATTCATTCATTCTAGTCATCTAGAGCTATCTACATTTACCTTCCATGAACACACTACTGTAGCGCATTTCGACTTGCCGGATGGGAAAATTAAAAAAAAGTGGAAGTTAGGGTTTGGAATGAGATCTTCCGCAAAATCATGCTTTTATATCCACTAGGGTTAGGGTTAGGCAGATGTGCTACGGATTCACAGACATGTACCTACTCTCACCCACTACCTGATTGTTCAAACTGAATTAAGAGGAGCGGGATTTGAGCTTGCCACAAGCCTATCACTTAACAGTTTGGCGATCTAACCAACTAAGTTGTCCTTCCACTTACTGAAGTGTGTTAAAACTCAGATCATTGCTTACTAGTTTATTTATCATTAACAATAGTATACTAAAAAGATTTAATTTATGGAAAATATATTCCCTTCTGCTTCCTTTTTCCCCACTGAATAAATACTAGTCATATCCTGCTTTTGAAGCGAATATTGACTTTGAAATACGTTTTATGACTGATACACAAATGACTGGATGTAGTTGGGTTGAAGCACCAGCACAGAAATATCAATTGAGAGATTCTACAAAGAAATCGGATGATGTGAAAAAATCCATAAATCAAAAATCAAATCATTCTGTTAATTCTTCAACGACCTCTACTACAAATGGTTATAGCAGTGTTACAAAAAATGGTGTTAATGATCACTCGACATTATTAACTAGTCAAACAAGATGTCAAATTGAGTTTGATATAGCATGGGATGCTTTGATTGTTCATTCACCTGAAGGTCAATGGAGTAATATCGCACCATTACGTGTACTGAGTTTTGATATTGAATGTGCCAGTCGTAAAGGTTTGTTGAGTTTTTTTATTACTGTTAACTGATTAACTGTGTATGTAAACAGCCGTATAAGATAGTATGTAATAGTGTTTGTGGGAACAGAGAAGATTAGAAGTCGAAGATACAAGCCGAAAAAAATAAGTCAGTTTTATAAAAAAGTTATAGAGAATTTAGAGACTTGAGATTTAGGGAAAAACAAAGGGTAAATGCACCTGGGCCTTTGCGAATGAATCTGAGGCATGCCACCCAAAGCCTTTAATAATTGGTACGATAATCACTCAAATCCCAACCAGTTAGTTTACACCTATTAACATGGCTCAGTTCAGCTATAAATGACTTCAATTACTGATACCCTATATTGATTTGATACTCCTAACTTTCTTTCAACCAACTCCCACACCAGATAACATCGCGTGTCGTCGATATAGGCGGTTGTTGGATCTACTCAATACACTTGCCAACGAGTTCATTTAATAAAGATCACTACCTCATGAATCGATTTGTCGTACGTACGTAGTACTTTATACCTAACCTGAGAATTGCTCACTGGTTTGTCTGAAAAGATATGAGTGATGCTTGAAAGAGAGTTATGATCGAATACTCCAAGTCTATGAAGATCCTCTTTTGTGGGTGGCCATGTTTGACAGTAATGAAATAGAACGATTTGAACTACTCTGGTATTATTTGGTTGCTTTACTTGTCAGGCAATGTCTTTATATGATACCTGTTGCCACGAAATTATTCATTATTTACATAAAAATTCATTTTTAATTCACTTAACTAGGTGTGTTCCCTGTACCCGATAAAGATCCAGTTATACAGATTGCTAATATGGTTACTAACTATGGGGAAACAACACCGTTTATACGTAATGTATTCACATTGAATACATGTGCACCAATTGTTGGTTCACAAGTTATTTGCCATCAAACGGAAGAAGAAATGTTAGCTGTAAGTATAAAGCTGTGTTGTATCTATATGCTTTTAGTCTATTTATTACTGTATTATACATGTGATTTCTATCGCTAATTAAAACTAATAGGAGAATCACTGAAAATAGAGAAAGACTCTTCCGGAATGTTTCTTCACCCATCTACCTATGCGAAACGAGATCTAATTGCGGAACTAGATATCTCATGGTAGACAGTTTATTTGATGTGGAAATTACATCAAAATTCTACACAAAATCAACCCAGTAATTATATATATATAATGGCTTCATCATGAGTCTCTATATATATCTATCCACCGACTCCCTCGATGGGTAAGGATGGCTGGTGTAGGAGCACGTTGGAAGAAAGCTAAGGGCAGCCAAACCAAGACAAGGTGTCAGTCCATGAATACTCTGACTATCCAACTAAAGTATGTAAACAGATGCAGACTACCTGGTTGGTGTTCGCGTTATGATTGTAGTCAATGCTTAAAGACTTCGGATGGCATGGCTCAAGATCGTTCACAGTGGTGCGGATGCATTCACTCATCGTCTTCTCCCAAATTTTGAACTTCTGAACTTTTATCATCTTTTTTTATTTACATAATTTGTAATTTTTGAGATCATCTCTTTGGTGCCTAACCTTTTCTATTACCATGAATACTATTACTACCTCTACTACTCTGAAATTTACCCTTACTATTTTATTTCACTGTACTAATCGCGTATGGCAATATAAACTAATGTACATATGCCCCATATTTTACATAGCATCTGACTAACTGGCTAAATAACAGATGTTTACGAATCCCTAATTGTTGTATATTAGTGCCTAAACATATAGGTCATTGGTAATGTCTCTGAATGTGAAGTTGAGCGACATGTGATCTAATCTTCGAGGAAGCATCAGTCCCTCAAAATTACAGGTGTATATCTAGTCAACGAATACCAGATAGAACAAAACCAAAGTCCAGTGTTTTCTGTCGATTATCTCCAACCATCAACTCACAGCTTAACATAGTACACGCCATGTCGAATCACTTAGTCTAGTTGCCATATTGCAACTTGATCGGTAGAATTTGATCAGCACTCAAAAGTACTTGACATACATGACATCTGTCACTACTCAATGATTAATCAATTGCAGATATATGTATGTGTAGTTGTTACTTTCTATTTTTTTGTTATATTGCTAGAATTGGTCAGTGTTTGTGCGTGAAGTTGATCCAGATATAATCACTGGTTATAATATACAAAATTTCGATCTACCTTATCTTATTAATCGTGCTAACACCTTAAAAGTTGATGGTTTTGAATTTCTTGGTCGTATACGTGGCGCACGTTCTACAATACGGGAAGCTATGACTCAATCAAAACAAATGGGTCGTAGAGAGAATAAATTTGTAAATATTGATGGACGTGTACAGTTTGATTTATTACAGGTTAGTTTGGTTTTCTATTGACCTTTATACGTTATGCCGTCTTAGATCGACCATTGTCTTACCTGTGTGTAGTTTTTAATCAACATATTTCTTACAAATTTACTTCATATTTTTATTTCCTACAGTGGGTTTTTTCTATGATCCATTTACTATGTTCACATTGTTTGCGAAGACGATTATGGTATACTACCCAGCTGCCCAAAGCGAATTAGTTGGGGTAGGGTTCGAACCCGAATTTTACCTGGTGGTTTAATATCGAATGTAGTTACTTCTCATGAAGACCGTCTTGCATATATATGTATGCATCATGGAAAACGAAAGACTTCGTAGTATTGTAGCGCAATGTTGTATTATTTCATTTGTCAACTCGGTTATTTTATGTTTATGACGGACGGGGTTTCCAGAATGAATTGATATCACATTTGTGATAGAAATACCTAAAAAGAATAATTCTGCATGCAGTAGACAGTGATGATGTTCAAAATAACAATGAAAGCTTCACATTTAAACCATCCAACTTAAAGAACACACGGTTATCGAGATTTTTATACTTCCGTCGGGTTTCCTTGTCAAGTACTTGCTTGGAATAATAGCTATGTTTGACTTAATGCATCAATCAGTCACTCAATCCTCTACAACGTAGGACATAAGTATTCCGCCCATCGTTCTAAACGTTTAGGCTGAGATCAGATAAGAGTGGCGTTTTTTCCTGAGATTGTTTCACTTACAATTGACTTCATAATTGCAGTTTCTTTTATTAGTCTGAAAAGCTGTCTTGTTTTACTTACAGCCGCTGCCTTTTTCATCTCTTTTGCTTTCGTTGTCCACCATTGCTCACTATTCTTCCATGGACTTTTGGTTAACCTAGATCTGATTTGTTTCCACTCTTTATTGTGTTCTGAGCCTAGTGGGATCGGTTTATGAGAGTCTATCAGTGCAATGGATGTAGTAGAAATCCACTGGTTTTTCTTGACACTTTGGTTCAAATCACTAATAAATGCCGCTGCTGTTTCCACAGCTTTTCGTGTATATTTCCAATCAACATCTGGGTCAGCCTCGTTTTCAGAACTGCCTAAGTGTGACCTCAATTCTTGGAATATACTTTTAGCATTCTCGTTAATGAGTTCAAATCTAATAGGTCTTTTTAATGTGGCTTTTTTGCGTCCAGTGAGGCGCAAACAAATCTTTGCTCGTATTAGGGCATGATCCGAGTCTGAACATGTTCTCCAGAACGAGCGATAGTCTTCTATCGAGCAGGGAGTCGCAATGTTAGACGGTATCTCTCCTTATGCTTAAAATTATTGTTAGCCAAAAATAAACGATTGTCTGAGCACAGTTGCCGCAGACGGTCACCGTTATCTGTTCGCTGAGCCGCAATACCAAAATACCCATCTAAATATCTTTCTGTTTGGTTTAAGCTACCTACTTGGGCATTAAAGTCACCTGCTATGAGTAATATGTCTGAGTGTTCAGCTCTTTGAAGGAGTTCGGAAAGCTTTCTGCAAAAGTCATCTTTCACTTCATCCGGGCTGCAGTCAGTGAGAGTGTAGGCAGAAATGAAGAAAAGATAACGACATGTGTCTCTATTCTTCTGAGTTCTTACGGAGCCGTTTAGGCGAACCAGCACAGGCGACAGTTAACAGGCATCTATCCTAAAACTGCTTGTTCTGCCTTCAGACTCAATGCTATGACTACATTCTCCAGTCCACGAGAATTCGCCGTCGGGTCTCCAGATAAAAGGCGGATGTATCTCGTCGGCTCTCCGTTTTGGCTGGTGAGGTCATATGAATAACCACACTATGATCCTGTATGCGTGTTTCGGAAACATAAACCAGTGGTACGAAATTCTAGGGTTTTAGTCAAGGAAACCTGCTGGGCGATTCGACATAGAGTACGTACGTTGAAGGCTCTAATGTGTTGTTTGAAGAGAGGTTTCAGTAGACCTGGGACAGTATTTCGCGCACTAGAATCATTGATCATGGTGACACTTCAGGAGGAAGCATAGAGCTGATGGTTGAGGCAGGGAATAATAGGAATTGAAGAGGGAAATCGATTATGAATACGGTGGTCTTGAGTGCTGCTGGAGGCATGAGGGCGGTTATCACTTTCCGACTGCCCACACCGTGGAAGCGTTCTTCCAGAGGTACTTGAAAAGAAAATTGGGTTAAACTTGGTCTTAGTGATCTGAGAGCGTGACCTCAGTGCCCAATAAACAACTGCTTGAGGTGGGTCACACACGACCTTTTTGTGAGTAGTTTCCGTGTTAGCTACGTACTTGTTGGGACCCTACCGCCGGAGACGGATATCCCTTGGATAAGGCGAGGTGTGCATTTTTAGGGTCGACCTTTTCTAACCCCACCTCTGTTATGCTGGTTGTCTGAAGGGGACACCTTACTGCCGTTACACAGTCTACAATACGACTTCACCCTCGGACCTTGAGTTCGCCACTTTTAGTCTTACCGCCCTTCAACTGACCTGCCTGTCTAGCATGGTAGGATCTCAAGGAACGATTGTTTCAGCCAGTAAAACCTGATCGGTTCATTACGATAGATAAACCTGGCCACCACGTCAAGGTAGCAGTAACAGTCCGGGATGAATCTGTCACTCTGATACACATCCAGTGTTATTTATTAATATGTAAATACTAAAATATATTTGGTCAAATAATTTATGAGAAAACGTATCAGTTTTTTCGTTGTAAAACGGTGGTCGCTACCAAAATCCTAAGGTTTTCACTTTCTTACCGATTCATTATTTATTAAATTTCACCCGAACCGGACTTTGGTATATTAAAATATTCCTTGTCTGTATCAATTTTTGAAAATAGTTTAATTCATGGACTGATCGTAGCTGAAAGAATCATGAAAAACTAGGATACTCTGGACAATCTATTTCATCTTAGTCCACTATGAAGTAATAACCATGCTAGCGATCTTTAAGCGTATAGAATGTTAGACATGTAAGACCTTGAGGTAAACGTATCACTTTTAAATAACTACTCTAACAACATCCAATCGTTTACATTTCTAACTTCAGTCAATTCATTGAATTAAAACTTTTTATTCGAATGATTTTTAATATTATTACATCATTTATAAATTGTTCTTCTTGTCAGTTATTTTATTTATTTAAATTCCATTTTAGATATTATTTCGTGATTATAAACTTCGAAGTTATACATTGAATGCAGTGAGTTATCATTTTCTTGAAGAGCAAAAAGAAGATGTACATCATAATGTCATTACTGACTTACAAAATGGTGATGCTCAAACACGAAGACGTTTAGCTGTTTATTGTTTAAAAGATGCTTATTTACCATTACGTTTATTAGATAAATTAATGTGTATTGTAAATAATATTGAAATGGCTCGGGTTACTGGTGTACCATTAACATACCTACTTACACGGGTCAACAAGTCAAGGTTGGTATATGTGTATACCTTTTTTTGTGCAAATACATTTTTTAACAGTTGAATCCATGAGTCGATCTAAGCTAGACCATCATTGAAAACCTGGGACACTAGACGGCCGTTTCGTCTTAAAAGGGGTTGTGCACTGTTGAAGAGTCCTGTACTAGGATGGAACAGCTCCCAGTGCTTCCAGGTTTTCAATTATAGTCTAGCTCAGGTTGGCTCGCGGTTCCGACTTCCAAAATACATTTTGTCTGAATCTTTGACTACTAGTATTTAGTAAGTAGCATAATTCTATATTGAAAGATTTCGTGATTCTTAATATATTTTATGTTTTTTCAATAGGTTGTGTCTCAGTTATTGCGTAAAGCCCATGAACATGGTTATTTATTGCCAACATATCAGTCGCAGCAGGGTGATGAATTCGTCGGTGCAACAGTACTGGAACCACGCAAAGGTTTTTATAATGAACCGATAGCCACATTAGATTTTGCTAGCCTATATCCAAGTATAATGATGGCTCATAATCTATGTTATACAACTTTGTTACAAGTGAATACAACACCACATGGTTCAACGGGCGGTGGTATTCAAGCACTTGTTCAACGTTATAATTTAACTGATGAAGATTACATTAAAACACCGACTGGAGCGTATTTTGTTAAATCACATATCTGTCATGGTATTTTACCGGAAATATTACAACAGCTTTTAAGTGCCAGAAAAAAGTAAGTGTGTAATCTCGTTAAGAGCGAAAGCCCGCTAAGGGTGCCTTTTTCAACGGAAACTTCTATGAGATAATCTTATTTTAACTAGTTACCTGTTTCTATATAGATTTCTTAAAGTTCTCGTTACAAAATCAAACTTGCACACTCTTCTTATCAAGGGCAGAACTGTCACTTTGCTATTAATGCTGTAAACCATAGGAATCTCACTGAATGACTTGATTGTATCGCGCTTAACGCAAGATGTATGAGAAACTAATAGCTGTTTCTATTCCTCTACCAACATCTTAATCAGTAAATAGCGTGTTTGAAAGTTTTATCCTTGAAGAGTTCACGAATAATCTAACAGATCCAGAAAATGTTACTATATGTAAAGAAGCAAGGTAAATTTTGTTAAAGCTAAAATTTCTAATCAATATCACGTATGATATTCTCAGTCGGGTTGACTACCTTTTTCACGGATATACGCACTGAGCAATGAACAATAATCGAGGCCTTTGCGATTTATTGGTCCCCGCGGCTCTCCCAACTTAGGGGCCATTCATAAACCGCATAAAAAGAGCAAATTAGTTCTCTGTTATACCCAAATCGATCATGTTATAAAACTCATACAATAATTTACTGAAAATTCTTGATTACTCAGCACGACAAATAAGAAACCATACTTTAAGCACAATTACATCATAAATGGTAGTGTTCGTTGCTAACAGCGCATAATTAATTAGCAATAATTATGCAGTAGTAAAGGTATAATATCAGTGAATAGGTTCAATGTACGCTTACAATGAGAATATAGCAATGCAGTAAAGATATAAATTATAATGGTAATAATCATCTGAAAAATAGTCTTGTGAGTTTCAACCTGCTAAAGATTCGTCCAACTAAAATATATTTCACTCATCAATCTTTTCCTATGTTTCCTTTGATTTGGAATCTGTGGTTATCAAGAATTTCTTCATTTAATAAAAGTCTAGTCAAATACAAATTCTAGTCAGCATGCTTCACTTTTAAATGGGACTTTATTTAAATACTTTCTTATAATAATGTAATTGATTCATTTAACTTAAGCCATGTTCGCTTGTAAAAGCATGAATATTTTCGCATAAAGCAATTAAAAGTACTTTTGAAGTGTACTCCATGATTTATTTCTGAAGCATATCTTATGAGACCATGTGTTTCCTGAGCATTCCATTGTTTGTTGTATGTCTATTTCTCTCAGTTTAAATTTCTGTGGGAGAAATTCATTGTCAGTAACCAAGTTACAGCCTGACTGGAGCTTCTATTTTGACATGGCGGCTGGTTTTTTCTTTAATGATCTAGCTATATTAGTTGCTTGCTTCTTTAGTCCCTATCGTATGTAAAAGTCAATCATTTACAGATGAATCTCTAAATTAGTCCTCAGGCTGTTGAAAACATCGTCTTGGAGTAAACAAAGTCAAAATAAGTAAGCTTTTTGACTTGGGAAAGTCTATGATTATGAAGTGCAAATTAATACCGTTAATATAAAACCAGAATTCAATGTAGTCTATTAAAAGCAAACAAAACAGAGTGACAAAATGATACACCGGATAGGGTAGCTAGAGGATACAAAAAGGGAGTGAACAAAGTTTAACATCTTATACAAATATTTGAATGTACGAATATGTGAACGAATAGTCTGATACAATTGTCGCTTAATGAAGAAATTCTTTGTATGAAATCACATTTGTTATCCTACGAAGCATGACCATAGCAAAGTTAAAATAAATCAATATAGTGAGGCACGTTTACCAATCACACTTCACACTATACGTTACAGACTAATTGGAGAACATTAAGAATTAAAAAAAAAGCAAACTGAGGTCCTTGGGTGAAATCTTCTAAGCGCTGATTGTACTGAGGTTTAACAGCAGTTGGGCGTTCTCCTACAACAATCAGTATTTCCAGCTATCCACTCTTGCAACGAAACGAGCAGGTAAGAATAATTAGAACTAGAATTTGCACACTATCATACCACACGGATTTCGGTCGCTGGTGATACAGCTTCCAAAGTACGAAGCTAACATCTCAAAAACCACTCACAAGAAGGTCATGTTGTGACCTAACCTCAACTACCTCTCTTCTGAGGTCTGCTGTCACGTTCCCCGGCTACTAACACGACTACTTATGCAGACAAAGTGTTCCTACATGGTGTGGGTCACCGCCTACTTACCTCTAAGCAGGAACTTATGGTTCGAATTCGCATTTATTCTCTTCACTATACTGGGGTGTGATAGTAGTTAGGTTTTCTATCGGAAAACCACTATCTGCAGTAAAACTGCCTTCTCACTGTAGAGGGAGAGCTTTGGAATCGGCTTACGCGTTCGACAGTACCAAACGCCACCCTGTTCACGATCGAATACACTTTGATTTAAAAAAAACATTTATTACATGTTATTACAGGCAACTAGAAAAGCGTTTAAACTAAGTTCTTTGACATATGTTTCACGAATTCATTATATACTGTTTTTCACTGATAAAGTCCTATATTCTAAAATATCATTTGCCTTTTTAGTTGTCGAATTTCACTTTACTACTGATCACATTTAATATTTCATACAATATGTTGATTAGTTTCAAAATTATTCTGTATAATGAATTTGAAAAAGACTCTAAGAAGGTAGGACCAATGGTCGGGCCATCAGAATTCGAATGGTAGTGTTGAGTCACGTGCTATATAGAAACTCCAAAAGGGTTACCCTTAAGATTAGGATATATCAGTAGGACTTCTAAGTTATGGTTTGTATGGGAGTTGAAGAATGCTTTGCAGCTACAAACAAATATTTATTTGTTTAAAAACATAAACATTGGTACAAAAGAGCGCCAGAATAAATATGCGCCACACTTATCATTGAATTCGTGTTAGGGCTGGGATACTCCTCGGTGGTCACTATCCAATCTTTTGGCCCAATAGAAAAATATTAGTAGACGCAGTCCCACGTTGGCCGGTGACCAAGGATAGATTCATACTCCATTTGTTGCCTCTGAAGCCTAAGTGTTCCACTGATTTAAAATTTGAGTTTTCCAACTCTCCTAGATGTATCCTCTATTCCTACCCACTCGGTTTAAGCACAGGACACTCGACTTTCATCCTCTTGGTTTCATAAGCAACATCCCCTCCATGATAAGGTAGTGAACAGGACTACCATAGGATTGGCTGTATACGCCTGGTCATATAAGAGTAAATGAATAATTACTTATGCAGTCAGTTTTGAATCTCATTAGTTTGTTAAGGCATTGTTTTACTTTATCATTTTCTCTTCCCCATTTATAGAGCTAAAGCTGAACTTGCTAAAGAAACTGATCCATTACGTAAACGTGTTTTAGATGGACGTCAATTAGCATTAAAAATTAGCGCTAATTCTGTTTATGGATTTACTGGCGCACAAGTTGGTAAATTGCCTTGTTTAGAAATATCTGCTTCTGTTACATCATTTGGACGTTTAATGATTGAACAAACAAAATTACATGTTGAAAGTAAATTCAATATTGCTAATGGTTATAAACATGATGCTGTGGTAAGTGGCATAATATTTAAATATGTTTAAAGGGGGGGGGGAACTAGATGAAATTTTTTGAGGGCTAGGATACTGCTCGCTTCCTCAAAACTGAGGCAGATGGTTTTCTTAAGAGGGGACTACTCCCGAGGCTTTGACTTAGAGACTAGTCAACAAACCAATGAGGCAACGTAAGATGATGGTGTCCCATGGTAGCTGATGACCAAGAATAGGTTCGGACGCCGTCTGTTTCCTCAAGATACTGAAGCCCATATGTACCATTAATTGTGAGTAAGTGTTTTCCAACTCACCTAGATGGTTGCTTCGTACCTACCAGCACAGTCTAAGCGACGTACACTCGCTTTTCGTCCTCTTAGTTTCTTAATCAACAACCCCTCCATGATGAGACAGTAAATAGGGCTTCCCTAGGATTGGTTATATACGCGTGGTCATGTCATAGCATTTCGAGAGGAAGAGGCGGGTTTTCAAACAGAAGGCCTGTAGGCTTGAATTTCTCTTCGAATAATAAAAATCGACTGAATGTTCATTTTGTAACCGTTTATTTTTTTTCTCTGTTTATTTCATAGGTTATTTATGGTGATACAGATTCAGTGATGTGTAAATTTGGCGTATCCACAGTAACGGAAGCTATGGAATTAGGTCGTAAAGCTGCCGAAATTATATCTGAAGAATTTCCTAAACCAATTCGATTAGAATTTGAAAAGGTATGTTCTTGAATATATTTTCTATAAATAGATAAATATTCATTCTACATTTCAACTGATATCATGGAACATAATATATTGAGCCAGTCAGAAGTTTCCAAATGTATGGTTTTTTTATTCAAGTAGCTTGGTTGACTCGTATATAGGGAGTTTACTTATCAGTATCAACTCTGAAACACCGGTCATTACAACAGTAGACATTGGTGATAATTTGTTAACATGAATTATGAACTATACATGTAACGCTTATTGCTCTCATCTTTCAATTACACTTAATGTAATGGATTGGACGGTTTAATTTTAGTTAATCTCATGTGATGAATAGGTAGGATATGCGGTATAACATGCGGTGCCCAAAATTTGATACTGATACACAAGCTTCGTTGTACACTAGTCAAAGCAACTACTTGAGCGAAAAGACTGAAAGTGAGAAATTTTACTAAATAAACCGAATCGATGTGTAGCCTCACGAATAAAATAACCGGCCTATGTTAGTGTATAGATACTACGAATAACTCATCCAAACTTTGTTGTGATTAGTAGAGTAACTACTCCAATCCGGTTAACCGTCCCAGTGCTACTTATTCTGCCACAGTGATTATTCAAGCGTCAACGACGAATCTAATTCGACGTGTGCCCTCCAGATAATGATAAATTCATACGACCAAACGAGAGCCAATGACTTCAATATGCATCTTCATTTACATGTCCATTAGAAATTAAACCATCGGTTTATTATTTTATTTTATTTATTTTAACACATAGATATTGGTACAATCAGGCACCAAATACATATGCACCACACAAATCTCATTCGATACATGTAAGGGCTGTGATACTGCCCGGGTGCCAAAACTGAAGCAGACGGTCTTCTTAGAGGGCCACACTCGGAGCCTTCGACCTGGAGATCTAATCCACAAGGCAGTGGAGCATCGTAAGGAGATGCAGCCCCATGGAAGCCGGTGACCAAAGAAATGTTCATACGCCATTTGTTCCCGCAGGATACTGGAGCCCATGTGCACCATTGGTTTGGAATCCGGTTAGAGCGCCGGACATTCGCTTTTCGTCCTCTCATTTTCGTAAACAACACCTGTGGTGCGAGAAGGCAGTGAGTAGGACTTCCCTGGAAGAGGCTATATACGCGTGGCCATGTGAAAGCATTTCGAGAGGGAGAGCGGACTCTCCCTACTCTCGGCCGTACCAGGGCGTTTGGGGGCTCAGTGGTCTAGAGATTAGGCGTTCGTGCACGAGACCGTTAGGTCCTGGGTTCGAGTCCCGTGAAGCGGGATCGTGGATACGCACTGCCACTGATAAGTCCCATACTAGTATGAAACCATCAGTAGTGTATATATTATCTCTTAGAAATGAAAGCTATTTCTTGATCAATAATATTCATTAATTTACTTGATTTCTAATTGGATTAATGTATCGTGATGTGATTTATACAGGGGTAATCTTCATTTTAGTTGGCACTAATTACTTGTTTTGTTCCAGACAGAGATATATAGATCACTTTAACAGTAATCACAAAAGTACGAGTTTAAATGCTTCTGCTTACATTAGATTTTGACACTTATGTTACCGCTATCGAAAATACCATGGTACATATTGAAATTATATTTCTTGTGGAGCCTGATCTCAAAGATTTAAAAATGCGCCAGATAATCTAAATGTTGCTTGATAACCTGTCTGCATCAACGCCTGACCTACTGACAAGGAGTGAAGTAGTTGTGTGCGTCGACCACTACTTATCCTAAGAGTCTCTTCAGTCCTGATGGTCTGGTGTTCGACAAAATCTCGGGATGGATACAGAAAGCTTGATTAGTTTTACCTAATTGCATCACCTGTAGCGTAGTCAAGATGTCCATCTGCTAACCGAAGAGCGAGCATACTGCGTAGAAGTTTGGTTTGTATTACGCTGTTTATGAAACATAATATGCATAGGCTTCACTCTTTCGATCATGCTTATCTTTAAAGCATTGTTTAATTATCGTGAAACGGCCGAATAAGTGCATAGGTTATTTGGTAAAGATGGCAAATCAGCTGAGCAGGTTGTACACCCTCATCGACCGAGGCAGTTGGGATAAGTGGTTCGTATACCCAACCACCGCCCACTTTATTAGCGATTGTAGCTGTTGTTATAGTACGTTTGAATAAATGTAGGGAGCCAAATAAAGGCTATGCATTCTCTCATGAAGTCACTCACTATTTGTGTAAGCCACGTCGGTACGTGCATACTACTCCGCTGGAGTCTGCTTGATAACCACGATCAATGGTTGGAGACGTTTGGTGACACATCAGTCAGAATCGGTCGCAGTAGCGTACGTAAACTCATTCACGCTCTATCTTGCTACACATCTAATATGACTACTAGTGATGCCACAATTATTTCGATTCCTTTGGCATTTATCTTTTCAAATTCAGGTATTCGTTCACTTGTGGTATGGCAACTCGGCTAACACATATCTGTGCTAGTCTCTATGTTCATGGCTAAATGTGACTGACTTAGATACTATTTTTATCATGAGTATTAGAAGCTACTTTATTTTCTCCTTCAGAATTTGAGCTTCACTATTACTTTCATGCATCTTATTTTGCCGAATGATCCCGCCTTTTCAAGCATTTCAACTGTATCTATGACATCATTTTATTTGTCAGGCATCTCGTTAATTTCATTTCACTATACTAATGTGTGACGATTACGCGCCATTCATATTTTTTCAAGTTCTATGTTATGTATAACTAATCTAATTTGATGTTTATAAGCCTTCACATCGTCGTTAGTTCATTTCAATGCGTTTATCTTTCCATGATAGAAATAATCTTTCCTATGTTTATATCATTAATTGATTTCAGGTGTATTGTCCATATTTATTAATCAATAAAAAACGTTATGCTGGTTTGTATTTTACAAAACCAGATCGTCACGATAAAATGGATTGTAAAGGTATTGAAACTGTACGTCGTGATAATAGTCCATTGGTGGCTAATTTAATCAATGCCTGTTTAGAGCGTATATTGATTGATCGGTAAGAAGATTAAAGTTTTCTGTACCTGTATGTACATATATATATATATATCTTTTTGTGGAGATTTTGTGTAATGCGAATGGATTTTAATCACTTGCTGGAATAATGCTCTGTTTTCTACCTTACACGATAGGATCTTAATTCACCTTAGACGATTGTCTGCACTAGATACCCTCCCAATGTCTTCTCTACAGGATTTCAACACACTTCAGATCAAGAACACGTGACTAGCCTAAATAGAATGTCAGTATATTTCTATGCTAACAACAGACAACAATCACAACAATAACAAGGGTAGTAAAATATATTTAATACCTGTCAACTCTCTACTAATCTGATTGAACAAACAATCAATCATTATTTTCGTCGTTCATACATCATTTACTAATATCAAATGCAAAACGGCTTTCTACCATTTTGTCGCACGACATAATCCTTTTACACTTACTTTGATTTGGGTAGCCACTTCTGACTTCTACAAACTATTTGGTAAAAATCTGAATACAGAAAACCTGTACTTGACCAAGGTGTATTAGACTACTACGTTCTGGTTTATTTGTGGTCGTGATTGAGGAAGTTTTTCGAGTTCAAAATCAAATAAACACCTCAGTTTTTCTACAGACTTCTCCTACATGCTACTATCGTGATATTTTAAATAAACTTAATGGAATTTTGTGTCATATTGATAGTAATTCAGAAGTTGGGAATGCTAGTTTCTAGGAAAAAAATATCACATAAACAAACAAGTTATCACTTCACGACCTGAATTTTATTAGCAATAATCTTTTAACTTTTGTTGTGCGAATATCTCAGGAGTTTCCATCAGGAACCTTCTATTCATCTTTGATAGACACTCTAAAACCATACACAACTTGTCACAGACAGCCAAAAAAGCATTACATAATTGCAGCATTAAAACTGAGAATTCAAAAAGCTACCGATCTCCTACATTGAGGATAAATGTCGAAATAGGTGTGATATCACGAACTGACTCTACTTAGATAATAATTAAAATTTGGGAAGCGCTGGATTGCTCTTTCATCCTGTGTATGGGACGTTTTAAAGACTGCGCATCCTCGAGCACATCAGGGATCGAACTCAGATCGTGAGTTTTCAATGGTTTGTCTATGGTCAGTCCATAATATGGAACCACGAAATTCAACAATATTATTTTAACAGCAAAAATAATAATGTATTTGTTCCTCCAGTACAGAATACGGTAGATAATGCCATATAATTTATACACTAACACTAGACTGGATAATTTAACTGGGGTCACTAGATCGAAATACTAAATACGAAAAGATCAAACCACTAGATTAATTCACGTTATGCACAAATACACATTCTCGATTAACATTTAAACATCATATTATAAAGACAGGAGTGTTAATCTTTTGATGGACAATCGGTTCGCACACAATGAACCCAGAATAGAAATTTTACGTGATCATTTACCGTGTAAAACTAGTGGTTGATATTATAGGTCATGGAATAGGCGTCTATCTGTCTGTCTTCATTCATTAACCGATTACAGCCTATTGTAACATCAGATCTCTACATTCATCTTAACTGTTAAGTAGCCAAATTCTATCAGAATTGATTGATCACTGGGTGGTGATCAATGTCATGCGTGTCTAGTCCTTATTATTTGTGCAGATCGAATGCTATCGATCATGTTGGAATGTGGTCACCAGGTTAGTCGCGGTTCGGATAGCTCAGTGGTAACGTCTCTGACTGTGAAGCTGGGTGACACGAGATCGTATCCGCCAGGGAGCACCAGTTCCCTCAAGATTACAGGTACACCTTGCTGACGAGTGCCAAGTAGCACGAAACCCGGGTCCAGGGTTTCCTGTTGACTACCTCCAACCACCATCTAAAAAGCCAAATTCTATGTTAAATTTTGTAATATCCATCCTATTGTTGTCATATAAATACGGGGAATAAATAACATTACTATTTTAATTTGTCTAGTCTCTGTCGATATGGAGAATAGTTCTGACTTATCCACTACTGTAGATTTTTAGCTTACAATAGACACCTACATAACAGAGTTGAATGATGCGAAAGACAAAACAGCTGTCCACTTCACTTCTTTGAACTAAAGTCAATTCGTGTTACAAACCTTTCTTCGAACTGGACAGTCTCTCTGCAGACTTTTCATGTTTTAATATTCAATAGTTTTCCATACATTTTTGTTTGTTTGTAATTTTTCTCTTTTTTTTCAGTGATCCAAACGCAGCGATTAGTTATGCCCAATCAGTGATCTCTGATTTATTATGCAATCGTATTGACATTTCACAATTAGTTATTAGTAAAGAATTAACAAAAACCGATGAAGAATACTCTGGTAAACAAGCTCATGTAGAATTAGCTGCAAAAATGCGTAAACGTGATCCAGGCTCAGCACCAAATTTAGGCGATCGTGTACCTTATGTAATTACTGCTGTAGGTGGGAAAAATACAGCAGCTTATGCAAAAGCTGAAGATCCTCTTTATGTATTAGAGCATAATATACCGATTGATACAAAGTATTATTTGGAGAATCAATTAGCTAACCCTTTACTACGTATATTTGAACCAATTTTAGGTGAAGTGAAAGCAAAATCTGTACTGTTAAGTAAGTTGTTGTATATTGTTCTTTTTAAAAAATTGTGCCTGTTCATTACTTCTTACACTTGTTACTTACCCCTCGTGGAGTATAGATCACTGACCGAGAAATTTGTTTTGAACTCTCCTTTCCAATTGTTGTCAAGTTCTACTCATCCTCTTGGTGTGTTTCGGACTTTGGTCTGCCTTTCTTTTGTCTTGAGATTTCCAAATTAGAATTTGCCTCGTGATTCAGTTAGCTGGTTTTCGTAATGTTTTATCTATCCATCTACAGTGTCTGTGCATACTACTACAAATTTGTAAAACTCAACACAGCCTTCTTTACAAATCATGCAGTAATCGATATCAGAAATGTTTATATGTAGTTTTGTTAGTTTTACTTGATAAGTGGTGGATGTATAGAGTTATCTTACGTATAGTGAACGAAGACTTTGTGCGGATGAGCAATTTATTGTATAGTGCGAAATTACAAAGTGTCTTCGTAAATTATGGAAGCCATACATTAAATACTTCATTTGCACATCTTCAGATCTGCCTATTTTTAAGCTTTTGTTTGTTCTATAAATCTTTGTTGTATGTCGTATCATTCCAGATTTATCACCGATTAGTTACTTCCCTATTACTCCGGTTTTGTATCACTCATGATTGAGTTGTGTACATGCTGCAATTCCCTGATTATGTCACCGCGTGGTCAGATATTTCAAGTATGTCATTGAGTAAGTTTTGAGTCATGGTTGAATTGAACACAAATGAGCTGCTTTCTATCTTCGTCCTCTGATTATCCACGGGGTCTCCAGTAGCTTGAGGAGAAAGTGTTATGATCTTGGTTCATATGTCATTTGGTAAATACGTCACTGGTTCTACTGGCACTATAGGTGAACTAGTCAATAATCACACGAAAGACAGAGAGAGAGAGAGAAAGTGATTATACAACGGCTTTCTTGTCATCCTAGCCCGATTACGCGAGACTCACTACGTTACTAGCTAACGTTCAGTTTTTTTTCCAGTGTAATAATATCACATTTATTTCTTTTTTTTACAAAACTTTCTCTTTGTGCTGCATAGATGGCGAACATACACGTGTAAAAGCTGTGGTACACTCAACTGTTGGACAATTATCAGCTTTTACAAAAGTACGTGCATCATGTATTGGATGTAGAACATTATTACCTGCTGATAAAACAGGTGAGAGGGAGATTATGTTGAACATGTAAAGGTTTTTTGTGTATCATTTTCTATTATTCCATTGTTTTCCTTTCTAACAACATTGAGCTTGACAACTGAACAAGTATTCACATTCAATGGAAAGGTAACATATTTACTAAAAAAAGTCTATTATTGTTTAGATAGATAGTTGGTAGTCAGTCAGTTCAAGGCGATGGAGGAATATGTTCGTGAACAAGATGACCTCAGGTACTGCTGAAGGTATGATGACGGTTTTCACTTCCCGGCTGCCCATATCATGGTAGGGCGTTACCTCCTAATTGTGCTCTTAGTGACCTAGGAACGTGACCGGAGAGCTGATGTGACAGCTACTTGACTTCGGTCACACAGCCGTTTTATCGAATGTTTTCGATGTGCTAGCTCTGCTATTTAAAAGGCTTTACCACCAGAGATGAAAATCTGTGGAGTAAGGTGAGATGTGGCAATTATATTATCGACCTTTCCTTATCCCTTCCTTCCGTTATGAGAAGGCAACATCGTTCCGGATACTTGTTGTCTAAGGAAATTACCTTACTGCTGTCACACTTCAGTATAGTCAGCAGTACTACTTCGCCCTCGAACCTTAATTTGCTGCTTATAGTCTTACGGTTCTCCAACTCTCCTATCTGGTATAGTAAGACCTACAAAAACATGTGTTCCAGCCACTATATTTCGCTCCAGTTATCACGATAGGCAAGCCTGACCAGCCACATCAAGGTAGCAGTTAAGGTTTGAGGTTGATGGTTAAAGGTAACCAATACGAAACTCCGGACTTGAACTTCATGCTAGTTAATTGTTTTGTCAGCATAAGATTGCTCACGAAGATACTGACCCAAATCAGCTGATATCTCTCATTCTAGTAGCCTGCAACTAATTACCACCAAACTACCCCAACATTAACTATAACTCTGTAAGAACATGAAGGTAACAGCTGCGATGTGGGAAAAAGTGGAGAAAGGAAGGAGGGAAATTAAGTCCTAATCAACTCAGAAATTGTTTTATTATCCATATTTTTCTTCTTTTACTTCGTCAAATCTAGACGCAGCTTTATGTAAATATTGTGAATCACGTGCATCAGAAATTTATCAAAAAGAAATTGTACAGTTAAATTTATTAGAGAAAAAATTCACTTCTTTATGGACAGAATGTCAACGTTGTCAACAAAGTATACATGAAGAAGTTATATGTACCAGGTAGATTTTTTATTATTATTATTATTATTATTATTATTATTATTATTATTATTATTATTATTATTATTATTATTATTATTATTACTTTGAGTTACATTCATTGCGTGATATAAACTAGGAATTCAACGATCTCGATAAACTGCTTAGACTAATGATAATGTGCTCACTAATGACTCGTAAACAGAGTTGTCGTGCGAAACTGTTGAATGGAGTTCGATCATGTTAAACAGTTATCAATGATAACAATGAATGATGGATGGTCTTACAATATCGCAAATTGACTGACGTTACACATTTAAACTTGGTGATTTGGAGATTCTAAGTCCGATTCCTACTGAGGTCAATAATGCATAGTTTTCTAAAAACCTACACTTGACGAAATAGTTATAAAGGGCTTCCTAGTTTTTAATGGTCATCTAACTGCAGTCAGTGAGTGGTGTGAGTTCCAAATATTGGTGTTAATTTAGTCTTGAATATGTCTTATTTCGTGATCGATCCGAGAAGAAGAGGCTACTGCACACAGTTCAGCATTTTTATTCTTTCCCTTGTATCTATTGAACGGCTTCTGTTAGCTTATTGTTTCGTTGATCCGACGCTTCATCATCATTTGCATTCGTACATTGGCTGCATACAATTCGACATACCTCTCAAAAATTGGATTCTGGATTATTATTTGAACACATGAATATTGGTACAAGAGAGCGCCAATATATATGCGCCACACAAAACAATGAGAATTCGAAGAGAAATAGAAAAAAAACTAAGGAGCGCAAAAGAAAAAGAGAACAATAACGAAGAGATTGGTGTAAGGTAGTGTGGTAGTAACGAGGGAACGAAAAGGTACAATCAGAAGAAATCTTTCAGGTAAGGGAGACACAACCACTTTTTATGAAGAAAGTAAAAGAAGGTTACAGCAGGATCGCCACTGGCTTCTATTCTGAGCCATATCTGATAACGTCTCTAGCCACTGTGTAGCACCATCTCTCGGACCCCAACCAGGGAGTCGTGAAGGACCAACACAAGCCAGTCCTTTGCAGCTTTCTTTCATGCCACGACACCATGTCATGCACTGACCACCTCTCCGCTTCTTCCAACCAGTCCCAGAGTCGGCAAATAATGCACGACGTGGAATTCTCTGGGACGACATTCGGAGAACATGTCCAAGCCACCGAAGTCGGTGTTTCAAGATGGTGACACCAATTGAATTATCATCTCTGTGCCCGAACACACGATGCCGAACCTCTGCATTACTGACATGGTGTTGCCACTGAATGTCAGCAATCCTTCGGAGACAGCGATGATCGAACACAGAGAGTCGTCTAACGTCCTCAACTCGGAGAGGCCAGGTTTCACAAGCATAGAGCAAAACTGCTCTCACCGACGCGTTGTAGATCCGACCTTTTACAGCCAGACTAACATCACGAAGGCGCCAAAGGTGGCCCAGATTGGCATAAGCCGCTCTGGCTTTCACTATTCGTGCATTGATCTCATCACTCACACCCCCACCAGCACTTATGCAGCTACCCAGATACACGAACTTCTCAACTACGTCTATCTGCTCACCATCCAGGGTGAGTACAGGATTAGAATCCTGCCAGTCTTGTAGAAGTACTTTGCACTTCGAAGGTGCAAAGCACATACCATACCTACGGACACTGATTGCCAACTGATTAAGTGCGGATTGCATGCCTTGGGCATTATCGCACAGTAAGACAATATCGTCCGCATACTCAAGGTCGAGAAGTCTTTCTCCAGGCAACAGATCCACACCACCATTACTTACATTCATCAGAGCTGTTTCCAGAATGTCATCGATGGCAAAGTTGAAGAGGAATGGTGAGATTGGGCAACCCTGCCTAACCCCACTGCTCGAATGGAACAATGGAGAGAGGTGGTTGTATGCCCTCACTCTGCCTGAGGTGTTTTTATATAGGGCTTTTAGGATGTTAATAAACTTCTCAGGCACACCCTTCTTCAATAGACAATCCCAGAGAACAGTCCTGTCCAACGAATCGAAGGCAGCCCTGATGTCAAGAAACACTACGATTGTTGGCCTTTGATAAGTATGGCGGTGTTCTAACATTTGGCGGAGGGTGAAGATATGATCAATACATCCTCGACCAGAACGAAACCCAGCCTGCTCCTCGCGAGTCAATCTTTCTCGGGTTTTGAACAACCTACGAAGTATGACGGAAGCCAATAGCTTGGACGCAATCGGAAGTAGACTTATCCCCCGATAGTTGTTACAGGAACGACGTGAACCCTTTTTAAAGATAGGGACAACTATCGACTCATTCCATGACGTTGGTACACTCTCTAGTTCCCAAACCTTTGTAAACAACGTCGTCAATTCCTTAGTCAAAAAGTCACCACCATCTTTAAAAAGAGCCGGAGGTAAGTCATCTGGGCCAGGTGATTTGTAACGCTTCAAGAGTTGGAGTTCCTTGCGGACTTCCTCCTCATTTGGTGGATCAGTCGTCACCGGCCATGGAGGGCAGGACAGTCTGACCGATGTTGCCGGAGCAGCAGGCCAGTTGAACTGCCCTTCGAAAAATTCTGCCCATCGTCCAAGACGTCGATGGATGTTAGTGATTGGCATCCCATCATCCTCGCAGATTGTTTCACTCACACCAGACTTCTTGCTGCCAGTGGCTCGGATGAGCTGGAAGAGCTTCCGGTAGTTACCAGATGCAGCTGCTGCTTCCAGCTCATTAGCACGCATCGACCACCAGGCTTCTCGGTCCTTACGCAAGCTTTGCCCAATTTCCTTACGTAACATCCTTCGTTTATGGTCAAACTCACGGTCACCCGGAGTAGACCGACGGGCTTCAATGAGTTGTAAGGAACCAGAAGAAACCCAGTGCTTAAAAGCGGGACGTTTCGCAAACCCACAACTGACTGTTCCCGCCATTTTCATGGCGTCATGCAATTGCAACCAATGCTCATCTATACTTTTCGGTGGAGTGGTAGCTAGCCTAGAGGCTAGCTCGGTTCGATACTTACTTGCAACAGAAGTTGCAACCAGCTTGCTAACATCAATCCGTTGATGGCGGTCACTTCGTTGTCCACTGAAAAGTAAGGCAAGATTGGCGCAGACCAAGGCATGGTCAGAGTCCAGATAGGTACTCCAAAAGGAGCGGCAGTCTTGTACACAACCACGCCAGCGGTAGCTGATCGCGATGTGATCAATCTGAGTCCAGGCTTGAGATGCAGAGGGAGGACGCCAGGTGGCACATCGGCGATGACTGTGCCGAAAGTTAGTGCTAGCCAGAAACAGGTTGTGGTCTGTGCAAAGTTGCAGTAGACGGTCCCCGTTATCTGACCTGCGACCAACGAGTCCCCATCGGCCACCTAAACGACTCTCTTCTGTGCCTAGACGCCCGACCTGAGCATTCAAGTCTCCGGCTAGTACTACAATATCTGTCGAACGCACTTTCTGGAGAAGAACAGATAACTGGTGGTAAAACTCATCCTTGATTGCATCCGGGCTGCAATCTGTCGGGGCATAGGCGGAGATGACGAAAAGACATCGTTTCTCACGCCGATTTCTTCTCACTTTGATGGAACTTTCTAATCTAACAGCACATAACCGACTGTTAATGGGGATCCAATCGACTAGTGCTGCCTCAGCTCTAGCGCTTAGTGCGACACCAACGCCAGCAAGACCAGACGAAGATGCCACAGGGTCCCCGGATAAGCGCACGTAAAACAAGCTTTTCGAAGCGATTGGTTCATACGCCATTTGTTTTCGCAGGATACTGGAGCCCATGCGCAACATGGATTTGGTTTGGGATCCGGTTAAAGCGCCGGACATTCGCTTTTCGTCCTCTCATTTTCGTAAACAACACCCCCGTCACGAGAAGGCAATGAGTAGGACTTCCCTGGCAGAGGCTGTCAGGGAAGTCCTACTTATCTTAGTGTTTCCATGTTACGATTGATAGGAAAACCATTAGCTGTACATACCGTCATCTATTATCCGGTATTCACTACCAATGCATATTCAAATAGCTTAGTCGTTTTGTACTTATCTATTTCTGCCTCCATTCAAATATATCGTTCTACACTACCCTTTCTTTCCTTGTCTTCACTGTACCGTATATCGAAAACTACTGACTGGAGTGTCATCCGGTTCTATCGACATCTAAAACACCACATTTATAACTTTCATTTCAGTGATTTGCGTTTCCCGTGAAGTCAAATTTCGTTTAGAAGAAATTTCGATGGGCTAACTATGATATCTTTCAGTTTGATGTTTTCTTTCTTCTGTTATATAATTCACTTATCAAGCGTGGGTTTGATTTAATTCATATGTCAGTTATATGAAGAGTATGACTTATAAACGAACTGATTAACTACTTAAAATAATATAGGCAACCAAGCTATATTCATTCTACTGATGGGAAATCGAATGGTTCAACTGACATTACGAATCCAACCGTCCCATGAAAGTATCATTTATACTCAGTTTAAATCTTCTTCTCCTTAACATAATAAGTTTCTTTCATTTATCACATGTTACATATCCCTCCCACTATTTTTAAAACTAGTTGTGGCGAACACTGCTCACAAGATTGTTAATAAGTGATATATAGAGGAACGTCAAATGGGAGTTACTACAGTTGACTGCCGAAGAAAAGAATTCCAGGAGGTCAAAAAGCACGGTATGTACAGAATACTTTGAAGACCAAAAGAGAAGCGAGAGAACGCAACCTAGAGTCAAATTGTCTTAGTATCATCTATTACTGACGATACTTTCAGACTCAACAGTTGTTTAGCTGCCCAGGCTATTTACGCTACAGTCCAAAAGTTGTAGCTGATGAATGCATCAATCGTCGATTTACATCTTGTGTATTGTTCAATGCAAGTTAATTATAGGCTGTTTTCTCTTGTTCCTCCTCTAGTCTTCATGATATCCTGTATATGGCGTGCTTCTTAAACATCCTGAGTGTTTTCTCTTCGGCAACTTCTACTTGACGCTTCTCTACATACTACTTTTACAAGCAGTCTTATAAGTAGTAGCATTCATTCACCACAGAGTAGTAGTAATACACATATTAAATTCAATTATTTTTTTCTAACATTTATATTTCAGTCGAGATTGTCCAATTTTTTATATGCGAATGAAATCACGTAAAGATGTCGATGAAGCATATAAAACAATTCAACGTTTTGGTAATCCTAATTGGTAAATCAATAAGAAAAATGGAGTCACATTCATTGAATTAGTCTAATCCATTGTAAACAAAAACCAAACAACAAGAATATCCTTTAAGATCATTTTATCCATAACATTTTCCTCTCAGGTTTTGTTTAGTTCTCTCTTTATTCCAGAGTTCAAATCTTTTTTTTATTATATTTTCTGTTATAAAGATTTTTTTTGTATTTTGAAAAGTGCATTTCCAAATTATTGTACTTCACATTTTCATTGTTTAACATATTTTTTTCTTTATTGTAGTGCACTTTGTTTTGTTAGGAATTAAAAAAACCTAGGCGATTGAACACATTCAAAGTTGGAACAATTAGGCGCACGAAACGTTATCAGTTGAGATGGCTGGGACATGTGTTACGTATGCCCAACCAACGACTGCCTCGGCATGCGATGTTTTATCGTGTAGGAGTAGGTTGGAGAAAACTAGGGGCAGCCAGACCAAAACATGGCACAAATCCATGAAGTCACTAGACAAGTGAACTGAGCCGTGTTAGTAGGTGTAGACTACCTCGATTGGATCCGCAAGACGATAGCAACCGATGGTTAGAGACCCTGAATGACATGGGTCAAAATCGTTAGTAATGGTGTGAGCAGGTGCATCCACTCTTTGTGTTCTCCCAAATTTTAATCTCCTGATTCCTCCTTGTCTTTTTTCTCTTCCCAAATTTATTTCACTGTATTATACTCTTTAAATAACATCTTCAAACCCTTATCTTTCCAATTACTGCTTAGACTCTTACCGCCTCTACCACTACGGGATTTGAATCGACAGCTGGATCTCTGTGCTAATGTGGTGTGGCAACTCGGACTGATGTACGTACGTACGAATTTCTAAAGTTGTTACTGACTGACTGATGGACAAACCAATCAGATTTAAGATAACAAGTTTTGAATTTTGACACGAAATTCACTCATCCATTTGACTAAATTCAGAGTCTTGGCATTATAGCTGATGTCAGTTCGTAATGAAAACCTATATATCTAATTCCTAACATTAACCGTCAACTGTAAATCACAATTCTAATTTCTCACACTAATTTATTACCTTCATTTGATCCTAGTTATCAGCTGGACAGTCTCAAGGTCAGTCTACGTCGTCCATAAATTATAGTCCCGCCCAAGTAGGCTATTCAACTTAATAAACTTCATGTTTTTGAATAGTTACTAGAGAGAATGGATAATAATGGGATAACAGAATTTCTCATTGTTTATGGTAAATATGTAAGATTCTGATTGGGAAATAAACGAATTATAATCCATATAAAGATCAAAGTAAACTAATCTAGTAGTGGACGTTTAATGCTGGTATTGGTGGATTCATTTATTGATCATAGCACAAATTTGTACGTTTAAAGATAGGGATGTAATTATATCGATGTCCTCCTAAAATGTCACCCTCATAAGAGCATGTATTGAAAGGATATGCATCAATCAACCATGTTCGGACTTCAGAAAACACCAAAACGGCGACTTAACAGTGTAATTTAGGTCTAAATATTGCATACGTTTGTAAATATTTTTTAGCACTCTTTAATATACGGATTCATACTGTGCCGTGTTGGTTATGCAGTTGAGTATCGATCTGTTTCCATAATCTACAACTAGTATCCTGGATCTAAGCAACAAACTTTCCAATTTTCTATTTGTTTAGACTGAATCCTTTTATAAAGCACGTTTGGATGAGTGGGTCCAATAAGTTATCTAAAGCCTCTCTGCCTCATTGCTCGTTCTAATCACTCACTACCAAAAATCAGCGTCTTTGCTGTCTCCTAAGTACTTTTATTCATTATGACGAGTCAAAAAACATGTATTTTGGGACCGAGGTCGTAACATTCTGTAGTCCTAAATGCTTCACTTCAAAATAAACATTATTTTACATCAGAGATTTTGAGTGCTGTTAGAGGTAATGAAGGTGGTTATCACTTCCCGACTGCCCACACCGTGGAACGGTTCTTCTGGAGGTACCTGAAAAGGAAATCGGATTAGAAGTGGTCTTAGTGACCTGGGAGCGTGACCGCAGTGCCCAATGGATAACTGCTTGAGGTTGGTCACACACGACCTTTTTATGGGCAATTTTTGTGTTAGCTCCGTACTTATTGAGACCTTACCGCCGGAGACTGATATCCGTGGGATAAGGCGAGGTGTGCATTTTTAGGGTCGACCTTTTCTAACCCCACCCCTCCTTGTGGGAAGGCAGCATCGCTGTCATGCTGGTTGTCTGAAGGAAACACCTTACTGCTGTCACACCTCTGTACAGTCAGCAGTACGACTTCGCCTTCAGACCTTGGGTTTGTTGCTTTTAGTCTTACCGCTCTTTAACCGACCTTTCTGACGTGGTAGGACCTTGAGGGACGGTTGTTCCAGCCAGTATAGCTCGGTTGCGTCATCACGATAGGCAGGCCACGTCAAGGTAGCAACAACGGTCGGGATTATTTTACATACAATCACACGACTGTCCTCAGTACCCAAATCAATCAATTTAAAATGAATTCCTAATTATGATGCTTGTTCTTGTTTGAGTTCTTTTTTTGATGTGAACCACTTTAAAAGGAGTAAAAAGACTTATGTACCATAAATATTATCGAATAGTTTACAGAAAACTTTCCACGAATTTACTGCATAAATTCAAGGAACCTTGTCGTTGATATAACAGCTCGTTTCCACGTAATACTACTATATTTAAGCATATTGGCCTTCTGACTGCTTCAGAAACATTTGCTCTTTTGTGATTCATCACAGCATTAATTAGAGATACTACTCGACATACATTAGTTGCGATAATATCTGATCAGAGTTCGACTCATTCAGGGCATGTTTATAACGATGATAAGAGATTTCACTGGAAATATATGCATTGTGAGGACGAATATACCAGATGAGATAGCATCATTCGAAGTCACATTTACTAAGGATTTCACTAAACACAAGTGAGTCATTCGTACTTGTTTGTTGATACACATAAACATTGGTTCGAGGAGGCACCAAATACATATGCGCCACACTTTATCATTCCATTTGTTTGAGGGTTAATGTACTGACCGAACCCCCAAATGAAAGCAGGTGGTTTTCTCAGGAAGCACTCCGAATCTTTGACCTACAGGTCTAATCTACAAGGCAGTGGAGTGACGTTAGTAGATGCAGTCCCCATGATAGCTGGTGACCAACAATAGGTTCATATGCCATTTTTTCCCGCAGGATTCTGGAGCCAATGTGCACCATTGGTTTGGAATCAAGGTCTCTCAACTCCCCTAGGTGAATCTTCCATATTCATCAACCTGGTCAAATAGCCTATGTATACCATTGGTTTTGGATTGTGGTTTTTCCAACTGTCCTAGGTGTATCCTATGTGTCTGCCAACACGGTTAAGGCTCCGGTTCATTCGAACAGTTCACATCTGATGAAATGGCATCAGAATTCTGATCAGGATTTGATGCATTTAACATACTTTCTTCATATCAATTAAAGACTTCACTATAAATACTTGAATCATTAGGTGAACCGATCTCTTCTGATAAATAATGTTGGAAATTTGGTTAGGGCTTTATTCATCTGAAACTATTTTCTCACAACAATTTAGACCAGTTGAAATCAGACATTAACATTATTACGACCAATTTTTTTCCACAATGTCGGTAATTCCCATTTGCACAATATGTCCATTTTTCTTGTAATTATTATCTGATCACATTACATAGTATAGTGACTAGGTCTGATAGAAAACTGATTTGTCGCCAAAATTATATAATGGGGAGGACAAATATACTTTCTGTTTCTATGGCGTTCTACACTAGCACAATAACAGGACTAATGATTGAGATTACATTGTTACTAGATCGATATTTTATACACAAACTGGACCACATTATCTAAAATATATCATTCAAAGTCAAATATAGAGAACCAGACTATAGACTAGGCAATAACCTTATTCAACAAAATTACAGATAGTCTACACTTTATGAATTGAAATTATAAATCAATAATAGGAAAGGAAATCTCATTTTAAGTCACTCAGCTAAATGCTTTTTTATCCACACTCAATGGGTAATCACAATTATTTTCACTAATATACAATCTCATAAAGATTCATAAGATTTTTAACTGTCCCATTGAACAACAAAATCATGAGCTGATGGTTATTAGACCACTATTGAAAACCTGGAACCACTGGACGACCGTTTCGTCCTATTGTGGACCTTCGATCTCGCGCACGAACGCTTAACCTCTAGACCACTCAACCCAAGATCTAACGGTGTCAATGTCTAACCTCAACTCAATACTGATAAAAAGAGATTAATTCACATAATAATCATAAAGATGATGTATTTATTAAATAACTTTCATTTAGATTACAAGGTTAGCGGTTTTGTGTGTGTATGTGTGGTAGATGATAAATTGCACCAAATAATGATTAGACTAGTTGAAATGTTACATAATAAAATGATCATTTTTCTATAAAATAAGCAATGAGAATTACATAATTTTCTTATTATTTTCATGATCATCAAATTCATGATTGATTGATTGTAGTTTATTCATCTGAAATATAGATTAGTGTGAAACTGAACGGTTTAGTTTTTAATCAGAGAGAGAAAATATAAAAAAGGTTTCAGTACAAAGTTGTAGAGATCATGAATCGATTGATGTTACACCATCATTGAAAATTTGGAAGCACTGAATGGCCATTTCATTCTAGTCTGGCACTATTCAGTAGTGCATATTCACGATCTTGCATTGCTGAAGGGACGAAATGGCCGTCCAGTACTTACAGCTTTCCACTCTTCGTCTTACATTCATCCACCAAATCTAAACTCAACAATCTCTATAACCCTATACTGATAATTACCATGTGCTCACTAGTGATTAGCTTCGAGTGGTAATTCTCGGAGTTCTAATGGTAAGCCGTGACCAATGCGACTAATCCGTGTCTGGTAGAGACAAGTATCTACCTCAGATAATTGAAGATGGTTGTGCAGTTTTGCGGATTGGTTGACGTTAAACATAAACACCGTCGAATGCTGGCTCAACAGTATAGAGGTCCCATGTGATGGGTCGTGGATGGCCACTGCTGAAAAGTCCTGTACTAGGGCTAGGATACTGCCCGGGTGCCAAAACCGAAACAGACGGTCTTCTTAGAGGGCCACACTCGGAGCCTTTGACCTAGAGGTCTAATCCACAGACAGTGGAGCAATGTTAGGCGATGCACTCCTCATGGTAGCCGGTGACAAACAATAGGTTTATACGCCATTTTATCCCTCAGGATACTGGAGCCCTTGTGCACCATTGGTTTGGGATCCGGTTAAAGTGCCGAACATTCGCTTTTCGTCCTCTCAATTTCGTAAACAACACCTGTGGTGCAAGAAGGCAGTGAGTAGGACTTCTGTGGCAGTGGTTGTATGCACATGACCATGTGAGAGCATTTGGAGAGGGTGAGCTGACTCTCCCCACTCTCAGCCGTACCAGATCATTTGAGAGCTACTAAACAAACTTTAAAATTTAATGATATTTGTAATGACGGGCAGCAACGTGGTACTTGTTTGACGAACACAAAATCAAATACAGTCGTGGATATATCAGTCAATAAGGAGAAAATACAAACTTTCATAACTTTTAGCTTTTTAAAAAAAATCTTGTATTTAAGTTCAAGTCCGTATTTTCTTCGCTTCTAAAATTAGAAATACCATTACATTTTCATATCGTAAATAGTTTACAGTCTTTACAATAAGATGGACTAGTCCGAGTCATTTGTCATGCAATCTCTGTCTGTGGTTTTTCGAAGTTATCTCTGTGGAAACTTAGTTTCAAAACAAAACTGCAATGACTTATTCCTTTTAATACAAAAAAAATGTGTAAGGACTCGAGGGAAAGCTAATTTCTCTTTGTAAAATTTCCATATACTGTTGCAAAGCATCAGAAAATGTGGATTTCGATTTATCAACACATCACAATTATAACACTTATATCATGAATCAACTACTCATTTAACTCGGTTTATATGTTCGAACCCCGTCATTAGAAATATTTGATGTTACAGTCTGATAGTATCATAATCTCGTCATGCCTAAAACTTAGCTTACAGTAATATACATGTTTCTATGATTATTTATTTATTTCGATCGATGAGAATAAATGAACTAATAATATTTAAGTTAAAAGCTCATCACTTAAGACTCATTTAGTCTCAGTTTGGTTATTACTCTAACCCTTCAGTTATTTAATCACCAATCATGAAAGTGCAACAGTTTTTTCCATATTAACATCATTAAACGTTTCATTAATGCGCTAGAATGCAGTTGGACGATCTAGACTTCGCAGATGATCTGGCTCTTTTATCCCACACGCAACAACAAATACAGGAGAAGACGACCAGTTTAGCAGTAGTAGTAGGTCTCAACATGCATAAAGCGAAAAGTAAGATTCTCCGATACAACACAACATGAGCCAATCGAATCACACTTGGTGGAGAAGCTTTGGAAGATGTGAAAACCTTTACATATCTGGGTAGCACGATTGATGAGCACGGTGGGTCTCATGCAGAAGTGAAGGCGCGGATAGGCAAAGCAAGAGCAGCATATCAACAACTGAAGAACATCTGGAATTCAAAACAATTGTCAACCAACACCAAGGTTGGAATTTTCAATACAAATGTCATGACAGTACCACTTTCGAGAAATGGAGACAAATATGAGAATGAACAACAAGTGGATAGAACTATAGAGGAAGGCCCAGGACAGAGTGAGTTGGAGAATGCTGGTCGGCGGCCTATGCTCCATTGGAAGTAACAGGCGTAAGGAAGAAAGTAAGCTTTTCATTCATTCATTTTACTATGTCCATTCTATCACCATGTGGGTTCTCTTTCTAAAACTACTGACTGTATTATCTTGCATTTTCGAATTAATGATAGTAATTTACATTTTAGATATAGATTGTAGTTGTTAACTACATATACGGTTGCCTTTTGTGACTATAACCTTGTTAAGTCTCTATATACCACAGTATATAGAATTATTCATGAAGTTCATTTATAGGTCAATTAAATTAATATAAATTAACGTATTATCATTATGAAACTTACCATCCATATAAGCACCATCAGCAAGAACTAATTGTAAAATACGATCATAATAAATTCGAGTTTTTTCTTCACCTAAAACATTAGTAACAATTTGTTCACTTTCTGTAATTGTTTCATCTTCATCTTCTTGTAATGCCTAATAGTAGAAAATAATTTTTAAGGAAAAAAGTTATATAGAATACTCTGGATAAACGTCATGTTTTTGATTAAGATCATGAACTGACTGATGTTAGACCACCATTGAAAACCTGAAAACACTGGACGACCGTTTCATTCTCTTGTATGAACGCCTCATCAGTACGCATCCACGATCCCGCTCACGGGATTCGAATCCACGGCCTTCGATCTCGCTCGTGAACGCTTAACCTCTAGACCACTACTGAGTCGTCATCCAACAGTGTTAATGTCTAACCTCAATCAATCCGTGAATCCCGCGAGCGGAATCGTGGATGTGCAATACTGATGAGTTCCACAATAAGACGAATCGGCCGTCCAGTGCTCACAGGTTTTCAACAGTTGTCTAACATCATTTGGCTCATAATCTCATTCAATAACTTAATAGTCTCCACAACCCTATACTGATAAACTTCATGTTGTCAGGTTAACTAAGTTTATCGTAGTCAGTGATTATGGCCATGTTTGACAAGACTATGATTTACGGACAAACTAACAGAATTGAAGATAACAAGTCTTGAATTTTGGGGCGGAATCCATTCATCAATATAGTTAAATAGCATTTTGGCATTATAGCCAGTATTATTCCATAATGAAAATCTTAACTCTAATTCTTCACTTGAACATTTTACTCTCAATCCTAAAAAAAATTACTCCTACTTATTATAAAACTCTTATAGTCTCAGTAAATAAATGAATTTTCTCACGGTCACTTTAGCGCTACCCAAAGGTCGTCCATAAATTCAAGATTTATATACTTAGTGTATTTAAATTCATTTTGTATTGTTTGTTTAAATCTTCCCATGGGTGAATAGGACTGAAATTGATCAGTCTCTTATTGGCATATGTGCGCCCTGTGTGGATTGCCTCGATATTGCCTTAATTCATAAGGATTATAAGCAAAGATGGTTGGTGGCTAACAGTGGAATGTAGAACGCGCAGGTACACCAGCTGACGAGTCCTAAATGGGACGAAATGCACGTCCTGGATTCCACTGTTAGCCTTCAACCATCTTTGCTTATAATCTTACTGGTATTTTTCTAAATAAAAATAATCCGTCGAAGTCATATCTCAAGGGCTTTTGTTTTATATTTCTCATCATAATTACATCTAGTGTTTTAGGGTTGCCCTCACTTGGAATCCTCAAGGCCGAAGGAAAAGAGGACGACCAAAGAACACATTACACCGAGGAATGAGGCAGATATGAGAAGAATGAACAACAATTGTATAGAACTAGAAAGGAAGGCCCAGGACAGGGTGAGTTGGAGAATGTTGGTTGGCAGCCTATGCTCCATTGGGAGGAACAGGCGTAAGTAAGGAAGTACGTTTTAGAGCTACCAATCGCAGTTTACATTGACTCATGAAACATTTGTCTAATTTCTATCGGTTACATCATATCCGTACCTTGACCAGTTGGTACGAATGACGTAATTGAGAGTATCAGGAAAGAATTGATATTTATTAACCATTGAAGAATAATCAATGTTATGTTTGTTTAGTCCTTAGTGTTAATCCGATTATTTTGATCAAATTGCAATAGAGCCACTGGCTGAAATGGCTTGACATTACATGCTGCAATTTGTGATGTTCATTGTTCGGAGGTAGTTAGTAAGAATCCGTAAACCAAGATTTGGTGCTAGTTACCACACGCCAGCATATGTAATATTGAGGAAACTGATACTGCTTGTGGGAACAAACGCATTGCAAATCGATCGGTAGAATTTAATGAACACTAAGAATTAAACAAAGGTGATACTAATTAGTACTGAATTTCCAGCTAACTGTTAACATCTCAACCATAATGGCAGCTAGTCTTGGAGTAACTCACTAAAAGACTAAGTATTACTAGGAAAAATCAGTTTCTTTAAGATTACTGGTTCTATGCTCTAAAGTGGTAACTAGCATAAGACATAGGCCCAGTGTTTCCTTTCAACTACCTTCAACAACTAAATCTATATATCAATCTTCAAAAAAGTGGAATAATCACTGAAAATTTTAGGAAAAGTTAGGGAAATAATCTTACCTGAATGACATTGTAAGCTTTAATCAATAATTCAAAGCCTAATTCTTCTTCTAAATCAGCTCTCATTTGTTCTAAACGAAGAAATTGTGTATCGCCTAATTGATTGTTGTTGATTGTTGGTTTTATGATACTGTTGTTGTGTAATCTATCATTATGATAATCATTATCTCCTTTCTTTTGGTAGATTTTATTCATTTTTTGTTTATGTGAATTTTTTGATACATTACTTATGAATGAATTATCACTGAAACTATCAGTTTCACTGGAATCATCTAAAACACTGTCAGTATCATTGTCATCATCACTAAGGCTTCTATCATCATCATCATCGTCATCAACATCTTCACTAATTTCAAAATCCGATTCGTTTACTTCTGTAACTCGAGCTAAACGACTACCATGAACTGATTTACATATATTAATAAATGATTCTTGACATTCATTATTCAATGTTTCTTTATGATTTTGTTTTGTGTTTACTCCTGTTGTTATATCATGAACACCATGATCATCATCATCATCATCTTCTAATTCTTCTGTAATTTCATCATCTGTATTCTTTTCATCCATCATACGAATCTCATCTTTTGTTGTATTCGTTGTACATCCAATTGAAACATTATCTAATCGACTAAGAAAATTACGTAATTGACCACTACTTGATGTTATATCTTCAGGATGATTTAAATTATCATTAGTATCATCATATTTATTAGTTACATCATCAATAGTATGATTTTTATGTGATTGTCTGAAAACTGAATTCATTTCAGTATAACTATTATATGTGGTTTCTTCAGTTTGTTGTTCAATTTTACTAATTCGTTGAATAGGGAGGTTGATTGACACTTTAAATACAGTTTGAATAGTGTATAATAAATATAAAAAAATACATACAGAGTAATAGGATCAGTGATAGTAAACAATAATAGGAATATAGAAATCTATTTTAGGAATAAAAGTTACAAGACCAACTCAAAACCTCGGCATCCAGTGACTCCAATAATAAGCAGAGATTATGGTAGTTAGTAGTGGAATCCACGATACACGTTTTGTCCTATTCAGAACTCACCAAGTGGGTGTACCTACATCACTGCTTATAATGCTTGTGAATTAAGGCAATATCTTGGCAATCCTCACAGGATGCACATATGTCAATATGAGACTGATCAATTACATTTCTAAACACCTTTAGGGAGATTCAAGTGGAGTAACAACAATTTGCCACATAACACTTGGCTATAACATAATCAACGCAGGTTCATAGTAAGAAAATAGATCTTCAGCAGATCATATTATAAGAATCTTTTAAGATCTAATTGTTGGGGCGATCCAGAAAACTTTTCGCAAAGGACAAGAAAGACTCACGAAACACTAAGAAACATTTCATCCAATTAGCGTTCACTTGAAGTTTTAGCCAGAAACATCAAGAAAGTGAAAAGTTAAATGTGGAGTTTCTGATTGGTTGATTACTACACTGCTACTATGTTTAGTCGAATTCCAGAATTTTCGAGAAAACCAAGGTCATCTAAAATACTATAAAAACATTATATTTTCTGTACTAAAACGAACCTTTGAAGTAAAGTGCTTCTCGCATATTTTGCGCCTTTTCTCTTGTGTTCAGGTCTCTGTGTAGTTCTAGCTTGGGGGTTACGAGAATAGCTTAGGAACCGAATATAGCGTTCAATTAGCAAGACTGATCACTAATATCATGTCTATGGGATATGTATTTAATTGTTTAGTGAATAACGGGAGAAATTTGTAAGCTTCGAGTGAACCTATAAACTTCCATTGTTTGTTCTATAATTCCTTAGTTATTCATAACGAATCACGTGCTGTTTGTTCTACCCTGTACTATTTATGATATAGTCGTTTTCAAAGTATGATTTTTTATTTGGTACGGTATTTAGCCAAGCATCTTAATTATATTACTGTCGACTTTGAGTATTCATCAGATTGAGTACAATAGAGAACTATTCTGCTTCTTATCTGCATCTTCTACAAGGAAGCACCAAATACATATGTGTCACACAGATCTCATTTGATATGTGTGATGGCTGTGATACTTCCCAGGTGCCCAAACCGAACCAGGTGGTTTTCTTAAGGGATCACACTCGGAGATTTCGACCTAAAGGTCTGATCCATAAGGCAGTGGAGAAACGTAAGGAGATGCAGTCCCCATGGTAGCCGGTGACCAACGATTGGTTCATACGCCATTTGTTCCTTCAGGATCCTGGAGCCCATGTGCACCATTGGTTTGAAATGAGGGTTTTCCAACTCCCCTAGGTAGACTCTCCGTATCCACCAACCCAGTTAAAGCGCTGGAGTTTCGCTTTTCGTCCTCTCAATTTCGTAAACAACACCGACAATAGAAGGCAATGAGTAGGAATTCCCTGGCAGAAGCTATATACTCGTGGCCATGTGAGAGCACTTGAAGAAAGAGAGCGGACTCTCCCCACTTTCAGGTGTACCAGGGCATCTTCTAACAGGTCACTGGATTGGAATAAGCTTTAAGACTATTAAATATCAAGATCTTAGTTTGCAAATTACAAATTCACTGATCCTACTGACACTACAGATGAACTAACTGATAATTCTAATCTTGACACGTAATATCGATTATCGATCACAAACTATGAAACAAACTGACAATCACAAAAAACAACATACTGTACTATCTAAATGATAGTAACTATGAAATGAAATAAATTCATTAGTCACTTGGAATTACATCCATTACTCAATTATAATTGATACATACCTGATCGTTTTCTGTGATTATTTAAATGATCATTGAATGATTTTTGTTTATTTAATAGTTTTATATCAATTTCTGATATTGTTGAATGATTTGAATAAATATCATCCATATCATCGGATAATAAAGCAACATCATTAGAATCATTTGTATTTGAAGTTAATATAACTTGTAACATACTTTGACGTACTAATTCAATATCTTGTTCATCATCTTCTATATCTAATTCTTCTTTCAATTGTTCATTATTTATTGTTGGACTATTGTTGTTGTTGTTGTTTATCACTGGTTTTTCATTGACATTCCAACAATTGATTTCATCATCTGTCTGATGATTTTTCTGATAAACATTCATGCTACTAACAAAATGTAAGTAATACAGATGTGTTTTAGTAAAATAATTATGAGTAGTTTTTTTAATCTGATGTATGGAAAAATAATTACTAACGGGAAACATGTTGAATTTTTATGGCATTGAATGTAGTTGAGTACCATTAACAAATCAATAAATGACTATGATGGAACAAAATATTAATCTAATACTTATTCTGTAACTGATGATGATGGGCGGTAGTATCATAGCGAAACATTTATGCTTCTTAGTTGAAATTTTGACAAAAGCTATTGGTCTGCGGTTGTATTCACATCTAATTCAGTTAGTATGCCAATAAATGAATCATGATTTTCATCGGGACAGTAACTTAAAGTAAAACTTTTTATAGGTAAGTAATATAATTTATAATATACCATTGTGGGTCAGGGTAATTTTACATTGGTTTTCAGGAGAACCAGACACTATCCAGGCTTTCACGTGACAACCCAAACAGTACAGCTCAATCTCGTTTAACAGGAGATCCAGACACCGCCTAAGCTTTGACGCTACAATCTGAATAGTACAGCTCAATCCTGTGGCTCAACCACACAGGTACCAAGCACCTTGGTGGATCATTCGCACCATTCATATATACATCCACATCGTGTATAATTATTCTGATCAATGATCGCGTGAATCAATTATACACAGCACGAACACGCCAAAGTTGACCTATTCCGCTTACGCAACAGTCAAACTCATTAATGCTAGCAATGGTGACATACCTTACAATGGCCCTTGAGAACACTGAAAAGCAAAAACCAGTATAAATGAAATCGGTTAACCAGAAAACCAATTTCGCGCATGAACAGTCAACAAAACTTGACAAAGTAATGCCGAACCTCGAGTCTCATATGAGACCTTCAGCTCTACATAGCAATATAGCTTTTACTGTATAGAATACATATGCAGGGTAGTAAACGAAATAGCCCAGCCTGAAGCGTTAGGGCTTAAACAACGCTTAAAACCCATACTATTACAAAACCACCAAGATCATTTTTATCTCATTTGCGAAATTCTAACTGGGAGACCAATGAGTTAGGATTAGTATCCATATATAACATGGCAAGTAAGAGCAGATGTAAATCGTCAAGCACAAATCTTAATGTGCGTGTACATATTATATATCACTAAATAGTACTCAATTAGATAAGTAACATAAAGAAAACCCCATTGAAAAAAATAGTAATCCGTTTAAAAGTTATGAAGGAAAATGTGACCCGAAAAATTCCCATGTAAAATCCGTGCAGCAAAATCCAATAGAAATGCCCAAGACAAAGAATTTCGTGAACACACTTTTGACCATAACTTTTGAATGGCTCAACCAATTTCGTTCACTCATTTTGTATTCGATTTCTGTTGCAAATATCTATCTGATAACGCATAAAACATTGCTATACATTGGTTGGGGAAAATGTTTTGATCAAAAAACTGAAATTCTCTTGAACTTTCTATAGAAAAATAAGGAATTTGAACATTTTTTTTATTTTCACAGATTGAAATCATGAGTCAGTTGAAGCTAGACCACCATTGAAAACCTGGAAGCACTGGACGGCCGTTTCGTCCTAGTATGGGACTCCTCAGCAGTGCGCATCCACGACAAAACCTCTTGATTATTTATTTAGTAGAACATGCAACGCTGCACAAAATCAACCATGAATATGGTGATTATCAGTATGTGGAGGATACGGTCAATCAGTGCCTTCAGGCTTTGCAATGATTGATTCGTGATCTCAATGAAAATTGATTTGTTTCATAAAATAGATTGAAAACAATTCATTGAATCTATTTAAATTGAGAATTAAAGCTTACTTTGTATCATTGCAATTGTTAACATGATTATTATTAATATGTTTATTTTCTTGTAAATTCAATAATGACTTTCCATGTAAATCTTTATTTTGTGTGGATACATCAGTAGATGATGATGAAGTTGGGCAAAAATTACTGATATTGGTAATGAACCAGATCTATTCATCTTTATGAAGAAAGAAAAGGACATCGATTAAGAAAAAAAACAGATATCAGTTTATTGTTAATAGTGATAATAAAATTTCCTTTAACCGTTTCATACTAATCGAAGCGAATCAAATAGAGTTGGCAATTGAAAGTTTCATGTTTATTGCTTATACTATTGACAAAACAGTCCAGGAACTTGTACTATCATTATTATTAGCTCATCGGTTGTGTCTGAGGCTCTGGAGTGGAAGGATACTGATTCGTACCCTACAAAGAGTAAATATCCTCTTAACATTGGAGATACACTGTACTGACGAGGTTTCTAGGTTTCTCGCTGATTACTTTCGAGTATCTCAATCTAATATTGTAGACATCAGGGAATTTATATGTTACACTAATTAAATAAATAATAGAAGTTCACATTCCATGGTGTTCTCCCACTGTTGAACTAATGAATTAATTGTTTTGTGGACATTTTCAATTATTTCATGACAGTAATATTCAATAATTATTTATATTGAGGAAAGCACCCAACCGCGTCACAACGCAAGCCCCACATAGGCTTTTCAAGGTCAAAGGAAAAGAGGACGACCAAAGAACACATCACGCCAAGAAATGGAGATAGACATTAGAAGAATGAACAACAACCATATAGTACTAGAAAGGAAGGTCCAGGACAGAATATGTTGGACAATGCTGGTTGGCGGCCTATGCTCCATTGGGAGCAACAAGCGTAAGTAAGTATAATCTAACTAGTAAATACAGGCTGAAGTACTAGCATAATTGACGCATACTAATAAAGTGTTGGATTGGTGGTTATAAAAATTGGCTTTAGAGCAATAGGTTACAAGTTAGAACAATGCTACACGTTTTTTGGGCTGAATCACCTAAATAGTTTCATCAGCCTGTATACAAAGTAACTGTCCACTTATCGACTTAGAATATGCAGATGACATAGTCCTGTTTGGTGAAGACGCTGACAAAATGCAGAGTCTTCTGGTAGCACTAAGCAACAATGCCAGAATGTTTGGGATGCGCTTCTCTCCCTCTAAATGCAAGTTGTTGCTTCAGGACTGGTCTGCGTCAACACCTGAACTAAGGATAGGGAGTGAAGTAGTCGAACGTGTTGACAACTTCACTTATCTTGGAAGTCTGATCAGCCCTAATGGGTTGGTGTCTGACGAAATCTCAGCACGGATTCGTAAAGCTCGTTTGGCTTTTGCCAACTTACGTCACCTTTGGCGGAGGCGAGATATCCGTCTATCAATAAAAGGACGAGTATACTGCGCGGCTGTCCGTTCTGTTTTAATTTACGGCAGCGAAACATGGCCCTTAAGAGTAGAAGACACCCGTAAGCTACTAGTATTTGACCACAGATGCCTTAGAAATATTGCTGGCATCTGCTGGGATCACCGGGTAAGTAATAGTGAGGTTAGACGCAGGGTATTAGGGAATGATGGTAAATCAGTTGATGAGGTTATGAATCTTCATCGACTGAGATGGTTGGGCCACGTATTACGTATGCCTGAACACCGATTACCGCGACGTGCAATGCTAACCGGTGTAGGGGATGGTTGGAAGAAAGTTAGGGGCGGCCAAACCAAAACGTGGCATCAGTGCCTGAAGTCACTAACTTCTAGTCTGAGCCATGTTGGTAGATGCAGACTACTTGGTTGGGGTCCGCGTGACTTTCGTAACCAATGGTTGGAGACCCTTGGTGACATGGCTCAGAATCGATCACAATGGCGTCGGTGTATACACTCTCTGTCTTCTCTTAAACTAAGAGATTAAGATCACTTCACATCTTTCTTTCTACGAACTAATTCTTTCTTCCTATACTATATCCTTATTGCAATCTTTCTCCTATATATTACCACCTTTGACCTAACCACTCCTATGAATCCAGTGTTCATCTTGCTGTGCTAATGAGGTATGGCAACCTGGGCCGATGCATACATGTGCCTGGTCCTACGTTGTAGCTGACTGACTGACTGACTGTGGCCAGAAATCAACTACATAAACTTCTGCTCTTTTCAAATGAATTGGATTCAGTAAAACAATACAGAGTATTTGTTTTATTTAGATTTTATGTCATAAACGTACTGTAAAAGAAAGATTACCAAGTATTGAATATCCAGCTTTATTAGAGTTTAACACAAGTCTATACAATTCATATCAGTCCAGTTGGAGAGAGGGGGGAATTGACATGATTGATAAAAACAAAAGAATGGTAATAATTGTTATGATTTGAGACGCTAATGAATATCATGTGCTAAATCTATCAATCCGAATTCTGATTATAAATTTGTCTATCCCGCGTTTATTGATCTGTCTAGCTTTCTAGGCTTGATCAATTATACGTTCTGACCTGCACAAATAACCTTGACCCAGTGCAAGTTACACTCCTGTTGGTCAGCTATCTGCATTCTTTTACTCTATCCCCGAAGAAAAGCCAGTAGCCAGCTTTCAATACATATATATATATATATATATATATATATATATATATATATATATATATATATATATATATATATTTCAATTATTTAGCCTGGACAACAACTACTTCAAACATCCATTAGATTATGTACATGAAACTTTTGTACAGTACATTAGATAAGAAATCATGCTTTAGACACAGTCATACCATCAGTGGTAGGTAGCGAAACAGACAGTATGTATTTTTAGCAATAACTAAGGTATAGTAAAACGTATAACGATGGTTTATAGATCCATTGGAAGCTTACAATGAGGAGAGCATAGAGATACAACAATACAATTGTCTATCAATTACATGATAAAAACAATAGTAACAATCATAATCCAAAAGATGGTTCTAATATTTCCTATTCTTGTCCCATTTAATAATAAAAACAGAGTTAGTAGAAAAAAATGAACTAGAATAATGAAGTATGTTCTATAAAGAAAGAATACATTAGGATTTTTGTAACAGACTTGAAAATTCGGTCATTTAGTCCGATGCCAGTTAGAATTTATAACATTTGTGCTTCAGTTTGAGTTCCTACAGCCAGGTTAAATTATTAGGACCAATCATAGAATAGTAGAAGGAATAAAAGTATCAGTAGAGCCAGGAAAGATTATTTGAGAATAAGGATGAAATTGTGGACAAAAAGTATGGGATAATTTTAAACCTCAATATCTTAGATAAGACAATGAAGAATGAATGAATTTAAGCCAATGTAATCGATTCTGTGTTGTGTCGTTCAATGTCTTTAACCGTCGATCAAATTCATCTTGTGGACTTAAACCAGGTAGTTTGTATGTAATAATATAGATTAATCCACCAGTTAGTGACTTTACGATCTGATACCATGTTTTTATCTTCCTTAATCCACTCTTTCCTCATTGGAAGGGTAAGTTCACTACAGATGCTCATTGTCTGAGAGAAACACCTCACTTCCGTTACGCCCCAGTATATTTAGAAGTACGATTTCGTTCATGGAACTTGGGTTGCTGATTTTTACTAAAGCGTTCTCTAGTCAACCTATCTGGGATGGAAAGAAGTAGAGGAACAAGTATCCCATCCAATATAATCCAACTAGATTATCATGTTACTTAACTTCCATTAACACAGATTAAAGCTATTTTGTAATCTTCGATTATTACACTCTATTTCAACAAACATAAATTTGTAAAATCTGGATGGTTTACAACTAGATGCATTAATGCGTTGAAATACTCACTTGATCACGTTATAGTCTATTTAACTATTTAAAATTACAGACAAACGTTTAGTAAAAGACATATCGAAAATCACAGAGCATTGGATAATTGTTTCATCTTAAAGTGTGACTTCTCGGGATTACGTAAAGACAGTTACTTCAGGTATCTAGATCAGGTGTCCCAGGAAGTGAGTTATCTTCAGATTACTGAGTTAACATTAAAACTGTCCATATTTCTAAATTCAGTCAAACTATATTAATAATAATCTTTATATAAAGTGGATGGAATGTGACTGGTAATGATGTACAGGATGTGTTTTACGCCTATTTGAGACTTATCAGTTGGATTTACCTAGATTTTAGAGTTGAAGTAGGAGTGAAGCGAAAGCTACTATGTTTAGATTCCAGTGCGAACATTAACTCAGATTCTGGTAAATCTATCTGATGAGTTCCAAGTAGGACGAAATGTGCATTTTGGATTACACTGCCAGTTACTTTTTATCTATCCTTTATAAACCTGTAAAACAATGACTTTAGCGAGGCAACCATTAGTAATAATCACTTTATTCAGTACCATATGTTTAGTCATAATGAAGAATTCTCGGAATGAAATATGCAAAATTACCGTTTTATAATTAATCAACCTATGAATATTCAAAAAAATTATGTGATAAAAAGTTTTTAACCGGTGAAAAGATTCTATTTATCACTATTTGTACATGTTTACGAATAGTGTTGCTCCAACAAGACGGAAATCCGTGAGATAAGGTGAGGCGTGACATTTTTAGGACTAACTTTTTCTAACTCCTTCCTTCCTTGTGATAAGGCAGCATCGCTGCAGATGCTGGTTGTCCGAGGGGAACACCTTACTGCTGTCACACCCTTCTACAGTCAGCAGTACGACTTCGCCCTCAGACCTTGAGTTGTCGCTTTTAGTCTTATCGTTCTCCAAGTGTCCTGGCTGACATGGTAGAACCTACAGAAACATATGTTCCAGCTAATATAGCTCAGTTGGATCATCACGATAGGCAAGCCCGACCACTATGTCAAGGTAGCAGCTACGGTCGGATGACTGAACAGGATCTATTTTCATAACTGAACATAGTTGATATCTGAATTATACTATGATAATCTCTCATTTGTTTAAAGAATCCAAAAGAAGGAGAAAGTATATACAAACCATTGTAGCAGTACTCGTTGATAAGATTCATAACAGTTTACAAACATTTCAAAAGAGCTTATAAGTACTTGTAGTTAGCATAGTTGATTAAATAAAATAATGAAACTTTATAACAAGGAATGTACATTTGTAAACGTTGTTGCCCAAATATTTGAGTAGGTCACTCTAATCAATCTATTGTTCCAAGATCATTGATTTCTATCAATAATATTCATCTTCTATTTAACAATGAACTAACCTTCAACTTAAAGAATACTCAATCAATCAATCAATCAATTAACCAATAGATCAATCAATTAATACAACTATCTAAATATTAACGTACTTCTCTAAATGTATTCATAGGATAAGAATTTTGTACAAAAAGTTGACCATTTTCTAAATCTTCCAATTCACATGATTGATTTACTTTACTATTGTCTGTTGTACTTTGATCTGAAATTGGATCATCTACAAAATCTACCTAATTTTTAATGAAATAATAAGTAAAATGTGAAAAAAAAGAAGAAAGTGTGATAAATTGCAAACTATTAGTCCGTTGTAAAGATAAGTTATTGATTGTAAAGGTATACAATTTACATTACTTACATGTGTCAGTCGGTCAGCTACATCGGTCCAAGTTGTCATACCACATTACCACAAGAAGATGAACAATAAATTCGTAGAAGCAGTTACTTCAGCGGTAGTAATATATATGTATAGAGATCGTATATAATGATATGATACAGGGAGAATGAATTAGTTCGTAGAAAGAAAAGTATAAAGTGATTCTAATCTCACGGTTTAAAGGAAGACAGAGAGTGTATACACCGACGCCATTGTGATCGATTCTGAGCCATGTCACCCAGAGTTTCCAACCGTTGATTACGATAGTCATGCGGACCCAGACCAAGTAGTCTGCATATACCGACATGGCTTAGACAAAACGTTAGTGACTGATGCCACGTTTTGGTTTGGTCGCCCCTAACTTTCTTCCATCCGTCTCCAACACGTTTATATCTTGCATGAAACTCTGGAGTAATTCACTAAACCAAACGTTTAAGTATTGCAATCCATTTGAATCTAGAAATTTATTTATTTTCGAATGGTATGAAACATAATGATTATAAAAGATTAAACTAGACTAATTCCTTCTAAATAAATTAAATGCATTTAGAATTTTGTCAGATAATTTATAGGGAATGGTTTCATCTTTTTACTATCTTCATCATGAATCACAAGACGAATTGAGTGAAGCTGGAAATTTAGAATGACTGTGTGATAAATCAATAGCTGAAAGTTCCAATCCCTGACGCGTTCGTAGGCGTACACTGCTGTAGAGTCTCGTATCAGGACTAAGTAGATGTCTAATGATCCCTAGTTTTAGACGTAATACCAAATGACATGAATCCGTGACAAATACCATCTACAAATCCGCTATTAATAAACAATTATACTGATATATTTCGGAAATGTTCATTATGATAACATTTCAAACTTTTCACTATTTCTGAAAATTCACTTTGAATTTACAGTTGTAATTAGTTATGTACATTCGCTTCTTCACGACTACTTATTATATCAAGAGGTTAGATTCTTAATATATAACGTACAACTTGACCACTAGGACGCTAAAAACCCTCCAAGTCGCAAATAAGAAGATAGAAGACAACTGAAAGGAGTGCTATTCTAAACAGTGTCAATTATCATTCAAAACTGTGAGGTATTTGTAGTTTTTAGTAAAAAACGAAATCAGCATTATAGCTATCCAATCCACACACAGGGGGTTATTTGCAATTATCCTATAGGGAAGCTACACATAGGGATTCTGGTAAATTCTTCCAAAAGATGATTGGATGGAACATCTTCGGTTCTTTCTGAGCTTCTTAGAGTTTCCTTGAGTTTACCTGTGGGGCGTCCTCACACTACTCATTTTCTAATCTAATTTTTCACATATGTCTAAAATACTACTCTTTAAAATTAAGATTAAATTTTGAAAAGAATATCAGTCGAATAAGTACAGATAACAAATTTGTAATTACTACGGGTGTTTGGTAGATGCGGACTAGTTGGTTAGGGTCCGCATGACTATCGTAACCAATGGTTGGAGACTCTGGGTGACATGGCTCAGAATCTATCACAATGACGTAGGTGTACACACTCTCTGTCTTCCTTTAAACCGTGAGATTAAAATCGCTCCATATCTTTCATTCTACGAACTAACTCTTTCTTCCTGTACCATGTCCTTACATGCAATTTTTCTTTTAAATATTACCGCCATTGAATTAATTACTTCTATGAATCCAGTGTTCATCTTGTTATACCAAAGAGGTATGGCAACTTGGACCGATGCATATAGGTGCCTGGTCCTACGTTGTAGCTGACTGACTGACTTATTCTCAGTATTAAGTTATTTATATTGAAAAATTGTAATGATTAGTTAAAAGTAAAGTTATTTTCACCTAATCAACAGAAATGAAACCAAAAAAAGCAAATTAAATTACTTTTTCAAATAATTTTTCATCAGGTTTATTAATTATTCGAGGATGTTTTAGTCGATAAGTTGCCATGCGATTATTGAATGACAGTTTCGATTGATCTGAAATGTTTAAATCATTTGATAATTTGCTTGTTTTTCCTTCATGATTGTGATCATTATTATATTGATTGATTGGATGTAAACAGTCAGCTGTTAAATTGACATTTGGTCCACCTGGTCCACTTGGACCAGGTAGAGAAGGTTTATGAACATTTGACAACAACGATGATGATTGTGAAGATGGAGTATTTGTAGTCGTAGCTATAGAAGCAATATTTGTTGTTGGCGGTGATACTGATATTTCTGTTACGTTAGTTTCTTTTCCTTGTAGATCGAATTGCCAAGCATCTGTAATTTAAGCACAAAAAATGATATATGTAAACTACCTGACTCACAAGGAGTATGATATGTCCTATAACCCATTAGATATCACGTGACAAACTTGCTACTCAAATGCCGACTTCTATGACCTTGTCCCTATGCTAAATCAACGATGTATCAACCAGAACTAGCAGCCTTGAGTCGAATTCTTGGTCCTCCGTGTAGTAGCTTCTTACCTAGCTCAATCCGTTCAGTCCAGAATACAAATATCAGCCTCCGCTGTATGAATCGTATATTTCAGACATATGTGGTTCATATACAAGCAGAATAGACCGCATCACAGCATAAAATGAAAAATAATAATTATACAAGCCCGAGCCAAAAGTGGCTGTCAGTCAGTCAGTAACAACGTAGAATTTCGTAGGTACGGACATCAGTTCGAGTTGCCACACCACATTAGCACAGAGATGCAGTGGTCGATTCGAATCCCGCAGTGATAGAGGTAGTAAAAGTATAAGCATAAGTTAGAAAGATCAGGGTTTGAAGATGTTATTTATAAAGTATAATACAGTGAAGTGAATTTGGAAAGAGGAAGAAAGGAACATGAAGAGTTCAAGAGATTAGAATTTGGGAGAACACAAAGAGTGGATGCACCTGCTCACACAATTGCAAACGATTTTGACCCATGTCATTCGAGGTCTCTAACCATCGGTTGCTATCATCTCGCGGACCCCAACCAGGTAGTCTACGCCTACCAAAATGGCTCAGTCCACTTGTCAGTGACTTCATGGATTTGTTCCATATTTTTGGTCTGCCCGCTCCTAGCTTCCTTTCAACCTACTCATATGCCATTGAGCATCGCACGTCGAGGCATTCGGTGGTTGGGCGTACGTAACACGTGTCCCAGCCATCCCAACTGATGAAATTTCACTACTTCATTAATTGATTTGCCATCCTTACCTTGTACTGGTTTCCTAATAACTGCATTACTTACTCAGTGGTCCCAGGATATATTATTTAAGACATAAACTTAACTTTACAAATCTGTCAACTAAAATGATAATGAATACATGATCATAATGAATAAACTGACTTACTTTTTATAGGACTTCCTAAACCATTGAGACGGTTTTGAAAATCAGATTGTGTTGTGATTGATGTTTTCAATTGTGAATTATTATTCATTGTTTGACAATCAGAAGGACCTTTTAATAATTTATAATGAAGAAATCTATGTTAACTAGTATAGTACTTTTTTTGTAATGAACTAAAATTATTAATTTAATAGTTGAATTCATGAGTCAATTGAAGATAGACTAACACAGGAAACCTGGAAGCACTGGACGGCCGTTCTGTCCTAGTATGGGACTCTTCAGCGGTGCGCATCTACGATCTCGTTCGCAGGATTCAAACTCAGGACTTTCGGTCTCGCGACCGCAAACGCTAAGTAGTCCTATACTTGGATGAAACGATCGTCCAGTGCTTTCAGGTTTTCCATAGTGGTCTAGCTTCAATTGACTCATGATTTCAACTATTGAAATTTCTAAAATCTCCACAAAACTCCTTCTGATAATAATCATTTTCTTACTAGTGACTGACTTCAAGAGGCATTTCCTGGAGTTCTAGTGAGAAGTCGTGACCAGTGGAGTTCAACCAGGTATGCTGTGAGATATCAGCTCATTGAAGACGATGGTATACGGTGGCGCAATTTCGTAGATTGGTTGAAGTTAGACATTAACACCGTTGGATGCTGGCTCTGTGGTTTAGTTGTTAAGCCCTCGCACGTTAGACTGGTAGGGCTTGGGTTCGAATCCCGCGAGACGGGGCCGTGGATACGCACTGCTTAGGAGTTCCATACTAAGATGAAGTGACCATCTAGTGCTTACAAGTTCTTTATGATGGTCTAGGTTTAATCAATTCATGAATTCAACTATTAAAATTACTACAATCTCTACAAAACCCCACTTTCTGATAAATATCCATATTAAATAATAAAGATTGATTTCACTTTAAAATTAACTAAAAATCTCTGTACAGTTTGATCATTTGTTTGTAATAATGAGATTGTTCAATTTTCAATCAAAATTTAACCGAAAACAAATAAACTTTTATATGGACATTAATATTTAGCTTCATGTTGTGAAAATGATCCAGCTGTTGCTGTAGTGTCTACTATGTAACAATTAGTTCTACAAAATATGTACACATTGAACATTCAATGCATATTAAAGATGTTTGTAGCCTACTTCTGATTGACTCTTTATATTTTAATGTTTGAGTAAGATATTGCCAATCCAAGAGGCTATCGATCTTTTACATACTGACAAAAAAGGAAGTTAGTAGTTGTTGTCGTTTTTGTACTGGAGGATTTAATATAGACAATGGAGACTGTGTTAGTGACGTGAATGAAACCACGTAAGAGGCAGTAAATAATCCAATTGTAAAGTGCAAAAGTATCTGACGAAACATATGAATAACGAAATTCGAAGAATCATAGACCACTTGTTGATGTTGTCCGTTAAGTTATTCTATATGATGACCGTAATAGGACTGTTATTAACTCAGAGTTATGTGACGAAAATCTCAAATGAAAGAAAATGGAGGTCAGTGTAGAGACAATGAAGAAATTAAGAGACTCTTGCAAACAGTTCGCCAACCTTGATTGATATTATTTTCTTAAATTTCCATTCGGGGTTAAATAATACTTCGCCAAAGCTCCACAGTCTAACTATAAACACACTTGGATCAAGAGAAAAAATTCGAACTGTTTCCAACATCATTATGAACGATTTGATTGAATGAAGTGATATAGATCCTAAAACTAGACATACGCATGGTTCAGAAAAGGTTGGAATATTTACACAGAACATTCTACTGAATAACTCAATGGGATTTCAGTCCAAAAATCTGGTAAGAACAGATACAATTATGGAAGGAAATGCTAATCTCCTATAATGAAGACTCTCTAAGGAGATTCTAGATAGGAGACACAAAAACCTGCTTGGTTAACCGGACCTTGGAAGCAAGATAGTATTTATATTCGGATAAGACCTGACACACTACTAGATTATAAAATATGGCAGAAGATGGCTCTAGATTGATTAGTAACCCATCAACAAAATGAGGAAGAAAAGATTCTTTTAGCGTCTTCTCGAATAGTCAGTTCTTGCCAATGCCCCCTGCCAACAGTGGGTTTCGAGCAACGGTGTTTCTTTTATAGATCCTACGTTTGTTGAGAAGACAGTTGTCCTGATGCGACTCTAGAACATCGAAGTATGTAAGTTCAATGATCCTGATGATATTCATTCTCGAATTATGAAAGTTCTAGTGAATATAATTGAAGGACTACTAGCAATATTGTTTAATGTTATCTTTGGAGCAGTCAAAACTCCCAAGAGACTGAAAGAGTGCAACAATTGGTCAGGTCTGAAAAACTGGGGGTAAACATTTGATGAATAAAAATCGCCCAGTTACCACTATTAGTAATATGGTCAAACTAATGGAGAGTATTTTTCAAGTTGCCACTCTGCGTTACTTAAAGAGAATAATCTTCCAATGGTGGAATAACATAGTTTTAGAACAGGCTTTTCATGTTCGATCCATCTTTTCATTGCAAAGAAAGACAGAGGTATTCCAGTAGATGTAACTTTCACCGAACTAAGTAAACTCTTCGTTAAGGTCTGTGACCCAAGTCTTAGATTTAAACTTTGAAGTAACGGAATCATTTGTAAGGTCATGAATTGACTTTCACAGAGTTAGGTGGAAACGAGTGAGAGTAAATGATGCCTTATCATCATGAGAATCTGAGGACGATCCTATGCCCTCTTCTTATTTTACTTAAAGTAGATGATTTACCAAGTGTCACACAGTCATTTGTTCTACTGTTTGTTAGTGGCATCAAAACATGAAGACCCACATAAAGTGCCTCTGGTACGATATGATTACAGTTAGACTTAAATGTACTAGTTGAGTGAATGAATCGGTAGTTATTAGAAATAAATTCTACCAAGAGTATAAAAGTGCCGATCAGTTACCAAAACGATTGACATATATACACAATAAATGGAATACCATTATCCAAGTTTATTGATGTCTTAACCAATTTTCATTATTTTACAGTAGGTTACGATGTGATCTGATACTAGTTAACCGTTTGCTGAATGTCGACTTTGGTATTGATGTGTTTTATCCTTATCTTCGATCTGGGACTCCGTTGCTATTTGACTGGTCTCCCCGGTCTCCCACATTGTTCGGACGTTCCATGTACCTATAAAAGTTTTTGCTCTGATTGTTAGAAGGGGCATCGGCCTCGTGGCCTCCGAAGGAACTCGGCTTTCACCATGAAGCGTCATAATTCTTCTAAATGAAGACCTAACTTTCAGGGCAGAGTTTAGATAGTTTGAATTATTTTTTTCTGGTAAGCGTTTTTTAGCGAGTTAGTTTTCTACGGGATGGGGCGCTAACCCCTTGCCCAACCCTCCTCCTTTACCCGGGCTTGGGACCGGCAGTAACTCTGGAAGAGCTACATGCGGAAATTAGGAAAAGACGATGGAAATGGATAGGACATACACTACGCAAATCGTCAAACTGCATCACGAGACAAGCCCTAACTTGGAATCCTGAAGGAAGACGGAAAAGAGGAAGGCCAAAGAACACATCACGTCGAGAAATAAAAGCAGATATGGAAAGGATGAATAACAACTGGAAGGAGCTGGAAAGGATTGCCCAGGATAGGGTTGGATGGCGAATGCTGGTGAGCGGCCTATGTTCCTTCACGAGGAGTAATAGGCGTAAGTAAGTAAGTAAGTAAGTAAGTAAGTAAGTAAGTAAGTAAGTAAGTAAGTAAGTAAGTAAGTAAGTAAGTAAGTAAGTAAGTAAGTAAGTAAGTAAGTAAGTAAGTAAGTAAGTAAGTAAGTAAGTAAGTAAGTAAGTAAGTAAGTAAGTAAGTAAGTAAGTAAGTAAGTAAGTAAGTAAGTAAGTAAGTAAGTAAGTAAGTAAGTAAGTAAGTAAGTAAGTAAGTAAGTAAGTAAGTAAGTAAGTAAGTAAGTAAGTAAGTAAGTAAGTAAGTAAGTAAGTAAGTAAGTAAGTAAGTAAGTAAGTAAGTAAGTAAGTAAGTAAGTAAGTAAGTAAGTAAGTAAGTAAGTAAGTAAGTAAGTAAGTAAGTAAGTAAGTAAGTAAGTAAGTAAGTAAGTAAGTAAGTAAGTAAGTAAGTAAGTAAGTAAGTAAGTAAGTAAGTAAGTAAGTAAGTAAGTAAGTAAGTAAGTAAGTAAGTAAGTAAGTAAGTAAGTAAGTAAGTAAGTAAGTAAGTAAGTAAGTAAGTAAGTAAGTAAGTAAGTAAGTAAGTAAGTAAGTAAGTAAGTAAGTAAGTAAGTAAGTAAGTAAGTAAGTAAGTAAGTAAGTAAGTAAGTAAGTAAGTAAGTAAGTAAGTAAGTAAGTAAGTAAGTAAGTAAGTAAGTAAGTAAGTAAGTAAGTAAGTAAGTAAGTAAGTAAGTAAGTAAGTAAGTAAGTAAGTAAGTAAGTAAGTAAGTAAGTAAGTAAGTAAGTAAGTAAGTAAGTAAGTAAGTAAGTAAGTAAGTAAGTAAGTAAGTAAGTAAGTAAGTAAGTAAGTAAGTAAGTAAGTAAGTAAGTAAGTAAGTAAGTAAGTAAGTCGATCTGGGACTGATCGCCTGAGAATGTTTTCTCAAAAAGTTAAAAAACTGAGATCAAATAATCTAAATCTGGGATTCATTCCTCATGTCTAGTGGCGAATTATTAGAATTTTCAGCCAGAACAAGTAGTATCACCACGTGTTGGTACATCCAAAAAGAGATTAGATCTCCATAGTAGTACACTCCGAAGGGATTAACATAAGTCATTTGACCTACTCTTCTTACATCTGAAGATTGAAGGCAGATATGACTGACAACTTCCTGTTAATTTTGAACTTGATTGGTTGTGGCATATTCCTACTCAATACTACTTTGCGCAACAATGAACAGCATTTGACTATATACCAGTAGTGTCACACAAAACGCCGCCTAGGTAGTAGTCTGAATTAAGTTTTGACAGCCAATCTCGCTTTACGCGCTCAGCACAGACCATCTCATTCCGACGACACACCTCCCCCTCACGAGAAGGACTCCCGATCGCCGGGTGTGTGGTGTATCCATCAGAGCCTTGTCTGTTGGCCTGCACCCCTGTTAGTGGGGCCTCTCATCACGAGAGTTTGCTGCTGCACGTCTCAGACCTTCCCGCAAGGCTAACACGGGTGACCATGCACCCTCTACATAACCTCACAGTGGCTAACCCCCAGGCGACAACGGTGGCCAATTGGTGTCGCTGCTCAAATAAAAACTTCACAAAACCAGTATAAAAGTATAATTTGCATAATGTTTCCAAATATCTAACTGAGGATATCCTAGTGGATCATGGTTAAAGGCACAAGAAATTATAGCCAACTTTTACGATTATTACTTTACAATCAACTTTACTTCTTCTGAACTTCTGTATTCTAGATCCTCATCATTTAAGTAGTATATACGGTGTGTACACAGTGAGTTATTTTACTTCGAACCAGATATATCACCAGTTGACATTGCAGTTTAACAACAGACATCCACAACCAAAGTAACACTATTTAAGTAGTATATATAGTCATACTAACAATCATGGTAACGATTACTCATGAATTCCTTCCTTCATCCAAACAAAGAGAAATGTTTATAGTATTATTTCGTTTATGAAAGTACATTGTTAAACTGCAATGTCAACTGGTGATATATCTGGTTCGAAGTAAAATAACTCACTGTGTACACACCGTATATACTACTTAAATGATGAGGATCTAGAATACAGAAGTTCAGAAGAAGTAAAGTTGATTGTAAAGTAATAATCGTAAAAGTTGGCTATAATTTCTTGTGCCTTTAACCATGATCCACTAGGATATCCTCAGTTAGATATTTGGAAACATTATGCAAATTATACTTTTATACTGGTTTTGTGAAGTTTTTATTTGAGCAGCGACACCAATTGGCCACCGTTGTCGCCTGGGGGTTAGCCACTGTGAGGTTATGTAGAGGGTGCATGGTCACCCGTGTTAGCCTTGCGGGAAGGTCTGAGACGTGCAGCAGCAAACTCTCGTGATGAGAGGCCCCACTAACAGGGGTGCAGGCCAACAGACAAGGCTCTGATGGATACACCACACACCCGGCGATCGGGAGTCCTTCTCGTGAGGGGGAGGTGTGTCGTCGGAATGAGATGGTCTGTGCTGAGCGCGTAAAGCGAGATTGGCTGTCAAAACTTAATTCAGACTACTACCTAGGCGGCGTTTTGTGTGACACGACCGGTATATAGATGGCTAATATACTTGAACTATTTCATTTTCAATGATAAAAGTCATTCTATCCCATGGATACTATTCGACTGAAATCATCAGAAGTTGGGCGCCGAGTATAGAGAAGACATTATATGTGACTTAACTAAGGTCAACATCTAAATATGATTAGTTAAATATAGTAAAGATTTGATTTGATTGCTAAATACCATAAAGTCCTTTGATAATTTTGTTTTATCAATTTTGGCGATTCGCGGAGATTATAGTACTTCAACGTAGCATTCATGAGTCAATCTAAGCTACAATCTCCACAAATACCAAAAACTGATAATAATCATGTGTTTACTAGTGACTAGCTTGAAGATGGATTTCCTGGAGTTCTAGTGATCATTCGTGAACAGCGGAGAACAATTCGTGCTAGGTTTGAGACAGTTAACCACTTCACACAATGGATGAACGGTTGCGCTAGATTACCGATCAATCGAAGTTAGACATTAACACTTTTGAATACCAGCTTATTGGTCTAAAGTTTAAGCGTTCGAGCGCAAGACCGAAGGTCCTGGATTTGGATCCTACATGCGGAATCATGTATGCGCACTGCTTTGTAATTCCGTATTAGGATGAAACGGCCGTCCAGTGCTTCCACGTTTTCAATGGTGGTATAGCTCAGATTGACTCGTATACTCGGTTTTGATTATTATCCTGAAGTTCAGACAAGTTTGCTGGACGGAACATTTGAATTATATAAATTCTAATCGCTGAGATTATTTAAATATAATTTTCCCATAAATGTTGTTGTGACGTGCGGTATTCGACATCCGATACTGATACACGGTATGCTAAGCTCTAAGCCCCCAACTGACTACTTCATCAAGAACACTAAAGTGGGGGAGAAAGTGTATTGAACTACCGAATAAAATGCATAAATACTCATTCATATATATACCGGTTTATCTTTAGGAGATTGATCCATTGACCCAATGAAATGCACTTGAACTTTAAGTCACTTCTGACTACCATCGATTGACCTTCTCATTAGGCTACTTCTGATTGGCTCACCATATCAAATGTCTTATTTGATTTACTGGTTATGGTATAAATTCTTGATGTAACCTGTCTGTTTCCGACTATCAGCTTTTATATATCAATAGCTTTTGTATGGTTGCGTCTTTTTTTCATTATTTGCAGTTAATTTTTACTTAAACTTCTTAAGGTTATTTTCGAAGTTAATATTTCTAAGATAAAGTTGTGGGGACATTGATATTTTGGGTTAAGGTGAAATGTCTGGTTGGCGTTTTATACATTTCAGCAGATATGAAAAGGATGAATAGCAACCGTAAAGGATCATAAAAGACAGCGGTCGATGAAGAACAGTCGTGGGCGGCCAATATTCCTCCCCGAAGGATAACAGGAATAAGTTAAGCTGAAATGTAAGGACGATGTAGAATGACTTTTCAAACGACCTTAATAACTTGTTGACTTCATTCAATTAATCATCAGAGGTCAGAAAATTTGATTAAATGATTTATAATGTTAAGACTAGGATTTAAGCTTTAGGATTGAGATTTAGAGTTAAGGATTTGCATAGTGTGATAAAAAGACGAAGATTATCAGAACGATGTGAGAAAATATTAGCGCAATAGATTTTGAACAATCTGATCACATATATACTTCTTAAGAACATTTATATATAAAAATAAAAGGTCAACTAGACTAGAAAGGAGAGTATCAGGAGACAAAGATAATAAAGAATTAATGTGAAAACAATTTGAAACCTCAACACTCTGGATAATAAGCGAATATTACCAGGGTAGGTTTAATGTGAGAACAAACTGTTTGTGAATACACGGAGGGGTTTTGAATTTTCGTATGGCTAAAGCTTCAATGAATCTTAGTATATGTCCTTTTACACTTTTATACAACACCACAAATGCCGAGTTAAGATCAATCTTATGGTCTGTTAAGATTATATATTTAGCAATAGAGGATGATGGATGTTTATCCTCTACTCTTATTGGATCATTCAATTCTATTTGTTTTTTGCAACCATTTAGGTACATGTTCACACACCCTAATTTCGAGATCACGATTACTCTTCCCTATGTAAGTGTGCCCACACACACATTGAAACTGGTAAACACAATGGGATGTGACGCAATCGTTTTCATGTCTTTTAGGTTTTCGAGGAAGCATGGACTTTGTTGTTTCCTTCATAATGACCTTTACTGCGTAATACGTCTTATTAATGACTGATTTAAGCCTTTGTTTCAATAAAAGGGTACTCGAATCACTTGCAAATGGTAAGGTAATGTAGACAGGCTTTTTTCTTCCAAAGCTATGGTAGGTCTCACTGTACCGTCAACTTTCCATCTATTTATGAATTTAAGGCGATGGCTATTTTCCATTAATGTGTTATTTAGCAACCTAACATCATCATCAACGTCATCATTAGTGCAAATGCAATCAAGCCTGTTAAATAGGCACCTTATGAAACCCCGTTTGTATTGCATAGCGCATTAACTAAGGTATTCACCTATCCACGTTGGTTTCCTAAACTTGGATCGTTTGATTGAGCCATCTTCTTTTCTACTTATCTAGGAAGGGAAGCTGGTTGTTCTTCTCCTGAAGACCTAATCGAAAACATGTCACTTTATAAAAGATATGTGGACGATATGTTAGTTCCAGAAGGGGTTTTGTGGAGATTGTAATAATTTTAATAGTTGAGATCACGAGTCAATTAAAACTTGACCACCATGGGAAATCTGGGAGCACTGAACGGCCGTTTCATCCTATTGTGGGACTCGTCAGAAGTGCTCGTCCACGACTTCGCTCTGAGGAACTCGAACCAAGACCTATCAGTCTCACGCGCGATCGCTTAACCACTAGACCACTGAACCATCAGCCAACAGTGTTAATGTCTAACTTCAACCAATTCACGAAATTGAGCGACACATCCACCATTATCATCAATGAGTAACCCGGTTGAACTTCACTGATCACTGCTTCTCACTAGAACTCCAGGATATACCTCTTGAAGCCAGTCACTAGTGAACAACATATATTGATATGAGGATATGAACTGTTTATTGAATAAACTTAACACTGTAAAATCATATCAGAAAGGAGATTCGCTTAAATGAAATCAGCTTCATTAACATTGAATTAATTTTTCTCAAATAAAATAAAATATAAATTTAAACAGACTTAACAACAAAGAGAATACCTGTTACAATTGGCGCTTCATTTAATCTACGTACAAGTGTATGATTTGAATTTGACCAATCACAAGTAAAGGAATCATGAATAGACTTCAATTCATTATTCTCTTCATTATGATTTGGTAAATGAGTTAATTCCATTGATGAATTATTATTCGTTTCTAATGTACGTTGAGCTAATTTATGTAAAATTGTATGATCTATGAATGGATATTTTGTTATTGAATGTTTCAATTGATCTATATGATTTTGATAGAAAAGATAATTTTTAAAATTTATATCATATTTATAATTAGATGAGAATTTAATCCATTTACTACGGGAATCCGTTGATTTTGCATTTAATCGACGTAGAATATTATCTTTTCTCTTACGTATTGCAGTACTGTAATAATAATAATAGTAATAGTAATAATAATCAGTTAATGGGTTGTGGAGATTGTTAAGTATTTGATTGAGATCATGAACCGATTGATGTTAGACCACTAATGAAAACCTGGAAGCACTGGACGGCCGTTAGACATTAACACCATTGGATGACGGCCCAGTGGTCCCGTAGGTTAGGCGTTCTCGTGCGAGACTGGAGGCCCTGGGTTCGGGTCTCGCGAGCGGGATCGTGGGTGCGCACTGCCACTGAGGAGTCCCACAATAGGACGAAATGGTCGTCCAGTGCTTCTAGGTTTTCAATGGTAGTCCAACATCAATCGGTTCATGATCTCAATTAATAATAATAATAATAATAATAATAATAATAATAATAATAATAATAATAAAGGAAGAAAAGATTCATGTTGAAAATAACATTCAGATTTATTTTAACAAAAAGAGATTGTTTAATAGATAGGTATTATGTCCCGACAAGAATAATGAATGGTAACTTTGTGGATTTATTGATGGACCAATACTAAACGTATATTTCTATTGTAAAATTATCAAGTAAATAAACTATGCATATTCATATTCCTCTTATTATAAGCTTTATTTTGACCCATAAACTATTATTATACGTTTTACCATTCTTGAGTTATACCCAGTATATTAATTACTACCTCCCTCATTCACAGCCATATTTGGCTAATTCTTGTACAAATGTTGTTTCACATTTTATTGGTACGTTGTGGTCTGTTTGATTGGTATATAAACTCAGTATGCTTGACATAAATGATTCATATCGCAGAGGCTGAGACTTGTGTTCTGGACTTAACTGGCTGGGCTAGGCAGGAAGCAGCGCCAATCAGGACTCTAGGCTGCTCGCACGTGTTTCACGCGTCATTGATTCGATCGATAAGTCACTGCACATTAATCGGCGGTCACAAGTTATAACAATGGGATAGGATATGTATTGAGAGAAAGCACCTAATTGTGTCACAAGGTAAGCCTTCACTTGGAATTCTCAAATCCAAAAGAGAAGAGAAAGCTTAAAGAACACATTATGTTGAGAAATGGAGATAGATAATGAGAAGAATGAAGAACAATTGAATAGAAGTGGAAACGAAGGCCCAGAACAGAATAGGTTAGAGAATGTTGGTTGGCGTTTTATGGTCCATTGGGATTAACAGGCGTAAGTAAGTAAGCAATATCTCTTTTGTTCCTTCTGATATCGGTGAATAAAACCGTTAACTTTCATGGGAAATATAAACATTCTTAATAATGTAGAGTTTAGTAAAACTGATACATGAACTTAGATTATCAGAAATCAAGTAAGCTAATAATGATAGACTAATCAAAAAGTTCACTTCTATATGAAGAAAGCACTGTTAATGTTCTCCAGAATGGGAATAAAGGTTCATCCAGATTAAAGTATCCAAAGCTATCAAATCCAGTCACCTTAAATACACATTTCCATCATTTCTATACCACTACTTAAAAATAGACCACCTACTCTGATGTATTACGATGGATGTGATTAAAGTAGGTTGAAAGAAAAGATTGGGGATAGTCAGGAAAAAAACCGTTATCAATCTATGAATTTACTGACTCTTGGTTTTGTTAGATGACATAAATGACTTGAAACCGGTTTTCATGATGGAAATAGACTGATTCTTTACCTCTCTCAATATTTTCAGTTTTAGAATCATCCTATACTCTTAATTCCATAATTTCATGACTTCAGCTCAGAGTTATGTTCTATAGTTGTTATAGATATTTTAAAAAATAAACTTCAAGTATAACTGTGATCATATTGTTCGAAACGTATTACGCAAATATATCACAACTCTGATAACTTTCATCTTCCAAAGATTGATCTCAGATGCAATTTGGTTCTCGTCACATATTGAACTGAACTGGAGAAAATAAAGGAAAGAAAGACGCAGTGAACAGGTATTTCGTCCATGACAGTAACATACCTTCAACCCTATATAAGGGATAAAAACTCGTGTTGATTACTTCATCTTAATTCCTTCTTATCCATACAAACCATACTACTCAATAATATTCAATAACTTATGTGATTGTTAATCATGTATTAAAAACATATGCCCCGAATTACTATCCCATTCTGTGATAATCTTATGTATCTACAGTAATCTGAGACTTTGAACTCATTTGTCGTTGTATTTTTCTGTAGGTGTTTCATACAGAAGTATTTTAGGAAAAGCTCCCTCTTTTATCGTACATTGACACCTAGAATAGCCTCAGATGCTTCATAAATTAAGGTTTATATAATGGAATGTATATATTGTTGTTAATAATAGTACCGCTTTGTCGATAAATTCCTTGTTTTCGTTTTACGCGTAACTCAATCGTTTGATCTGAATCCTGAAGTGAATTTGACAGAACCCGAGATGTATGGATTTCACTGGGAGCGCATTAGATTTAGATCGTCGAGTTTTAGATTTTATCACTTATTCTACCATTGTTCGGGTTTCTTTAGTTTCGAAACAACCACATCAATGCAAAATAAACACTATCTAGTATATGAATAAGACATCTCTATTTTTATACTCATAACTGATAAATCCATACAAGTGTTGATTCCTACTTTACAGAAAGTTAGCGTTCTAGGTTCTAGGTTCGATTCCCAGGCGCGGTATCGTGGAAACGCATTGTTGAGTAGTCACGTACCAGAACAAAACAGAAGTCTAGTACTTCCAGGTTTTCACTGGTGGTCTAACTTGTATTGTTTCATAATTGCAATGAAAACGCAATAGTTTAATTGCCTTCTATCATTTATAATACTTTCCAGTTAATGTTACTTTCTACATAATCGGAATCATCAGTTTGAAAGTTAGATTAAATTCAAATATAAAAACTAACCATTTATGATATACATTTGAAGAATGAACAGAACTAGAATTTGAATTTGGATCATCTTCTGTAATTGCTGAACTTTCTTCTTCCTCACCATCTCCATCATCCATATTTTGATTTAATTCCAATGAATTATCATTATAACTATCAATTTTTGTTAAAGTAGGCATTTCATTTAATTTAGCTAATACCATACTTAAACTAGGCGCTTCTAAAGGTTGTGATCCTTTGATAGTAATATCAGATGGTTTTATATCACTAAAATTTAAGAAAAAAATACCAAAGACTTAACCAATTAAGATCTGTATCACTTTATTATTATTAGGGTTTGCTATAATTATTAAGTCTGGAAATTACCCGATCAAATCACAGATTTAAACAATCATTCTTTACACTGAATCTGATCTTGACGAGAAAGTCTTTACTTAACTAACAATTATTGATTAGTATAATTTCTCTTTTTTTTATAAATATAGGTACTACTCGTAATTTTATTATCTACTCCGTCTGTTGTTACATTTTTGGCGGTATTACTCACTTACTTACTTACGCCTGTTACTCCTGGTGGAAGGGCATAGGCCGTCCACCAGCACTTTTTATCCTACTCCACCTGTAGTTCTTTTAGAATTACTACCAGTCCCAAGCCCGGGTAAAGGAGGCGGGTTGGGCATGGTGTTAGCGACCCCATCTCGTAGTAAATTAACTCGCTAGAAAAACGCTAACCAGAAAAAAGTTATTCAAACCATTTTTAGGGTATGTCTATACAATTTTTTTCTTCTAAATGACGTTATTATTGCTTTGTAATAGACTCTGATAAGACTATAGAATACATAGTGTCCAAATAAGATATTTGTAGGTAAAGTGAAAACTACTTTTTTTGATGATCAACACTAATGGTTTTCATTGTAGTACCGGAGATTCCTAATGAAAACATTGATAATCATTTGAAAATTCTGCATAAGTAAATATAATTGAGGAATAATTATAGTCAATCTATGTAATATCCTGTCACATTAATGAGAATTGGAGTCGATCAGCAGAGAGCGCTCAATCTCAGTTTTGGGCTAGTATATTTATTTATTTGAACACATGAATATTGGTACAAGAGGGCACCAAATATATATGCCCCAAACCATATTTGTGTGTGTGTGGGGTGTGATATTGCCCGGGTACCCAGACCGAAGCAGGTGGTTATCTTAGGGGGCCACAACCCGAGCTTCTGACCTAAAGGTCTGATCCACAAGGTAGTGGAGTATCGGGAGGAGATGCAGTCCCATGGAAGCCGGTGACCAACGATTGGTTCATACGCTATTTGTTCCCGCAGGATACTGGAGTCCATTTGCACTATTGGTTTGGGGTCCGGTTAAAGTGCCGGACATTCGCTTTTCGTTCTCTCATTTTCGTAAACAGCATCCCCACCACGAGAAGCAGTGAGTAGGACTTCCCTGGCAGAGGCTGTATACGCGTGGCCATACCAGGGCATAGGCTAGTAGCCTATCATCAACAAGTTATATCAGCTATTTTGAAGAGAATTGACTGCCTTAATGAGATTCTAAGCTATGTCATTCATTGTAATTCATTTCATTCAAATCATATTAGATTTTTAAGTCAGCTATATAATTATAGTTCCTCTAAGAAACACTGCTAGAGGGAATTTGTTTAAAATAGAGTCAAACATTTATATTGTACTTATATCTCTCTGATGCACCACTCGAAAAAAGAAATTTGAACTGATAATTTATTTTTGGCGAGACTATAATTTATGGACGAACCAATCAAATTTAGAATAACAGATCATGGATTTTGGCATGGAATTCATTCATCCATTTGGCTAAATAACGTTTTGGTATTTTAACTGATGTTAGTCCGTGATGAAAACCTTAAGTCTAATTCCTAATCCTAACTATCAACTGTAAATCATAAACCGTATTTTTCACACTGCTTTATAGCCCTTATTTAATCCTAGTAAGTAGGCGAACATTCTCAAGGTTATTTTAGCGTGGCTCAAAGGTCATCCATAAATTATAATCTCACCACATTATTTTTTTGGAATTAACCATACTATAGAATTATTTCGAAATGAAAGTTTGTGTGTGACAATCGTAGATTTCAGAATTCCCGCTTTACAATATTTGAGACGATGTTCAAACGGCACAAATCACTGAGTGGTATTTTGTTAAACGCATTCCACATTTAACCAGTGTAAATGAAACCTATGAAAACCACTGTTTTTTTAGAAACATCTTGAGGGGAGCAGGCATTCGCAATCTGATTCTCAACTTTTTGCATTGATGGATATGGAGGATCCACCTGGGGGAGTTGGAAAACGCTGATTCCAAACCAATGGTGCACATGGGTTTCAGGATGCTGAAGGAACAAATGAACTATGAACCTATTGTTGGTCACAAACTACCATGAGATTGCATCTCCTTACGTTGCTTTACTGCTTTGTGGATCAAACCTCTAGATCGAAAGCTCCGGGTGCGGCTACCTAAGGAAATCACCTGCTTTGGTTTGAGCACCCGAGCAGTATCATAGCCCACACACAAATCAAGTGATTTGTATGACGCATTTGTTTTCAGTGCTCCTTTATACAAATATTTATGTGTTCAAATAATAATAATTTTTGCATTGGATTCAATAAACTCATGGTTTATCTTCCAGAATAGAACAATTCTATCGTGATGAGTTACAAGTAGACTTGATTACCATTAAAAAGATGCTTGTTCTTTTTATCTAACAAATTGAACATGGATATCACAATTTTAGAAATTTGACAGTTTCATAAGTGTATTTAAATACATAAAGTAATTTCTTTCAATATTTTTAAAACTAACCTTGAATCGACATATTTATGTTCTACCGATTTCTGAACCAATTTAGATTGTGGTGTACACAATCTTTCGAACTGTTCAAGCTTTAATAGAAATGAAAAGTGATCATACAATTAGCTTATTTCTCAAAACTACTTTCCAGATTGTGATATTTATTATTGTCTTTAAAACACTAACTTACGCCTGTTATGCCTCGTGGAGGAGCATAGGCCAACCACCAGCACTCGCCATCCAACCCTATCCTGGACAATCCTTTCCAGCTTACTCCAGTTGTTATTCATCTCTTTCATATCTGATTCTATTTCCCGACGTGATGTGTTCTTTGGCATTCCTCTTTTCCACTTCCCTTCAGAATGACAAGTTAGGGCTTACCTCGTAATGCAGTTTGATGGTTTCTGTAATGTATGTCCTATCCATTTCCAACGTCTTCCTAATTCCCTCTTCACTTGGAATCTGGCTTGTCCTCTCCCACAGAAGGCTATTATTGATAGTATCAGGCCAATGGACACTGAGTATCTTGTGTAGACAATTGTTTATAAGTACTTGTACATTTTCGATAATGGTTGTAGTAGTTCTCCAAGTTTCAGCTCCGTACAGTAGAGCTGCGTTGACGTTCGTATTGAAGATTCGGACTTTGATGTTTGTTAACAGTTGTTTTGAGTCCCATATGTTCTTTCATTGTAGGAATGCGGCTCTTTGCCAATCCTCGCCTTTACGTCCTAAATCAGTGTTAATTCATTAAGGGACTATCATTCAGTTCTCTTCAAATTGTGGAGCAGTTATGCTTATATTGTAATTTCTTAATTCTGTTAATGTATAGTTGGACTTTTTCTTGATATCATTGCATGAGTGATTCACAAATTGGTTATTAACATTTACATAAGCGTCCGCCATTCAGACTCGTAATTATTTCCTGTCTCCAATTTCCACTACTGTATGTTCTCTCGTCTTTGACTGACTCTCTTCGCTGCAGACTTTGTGCTAATTACATTAATTTACATTCCAGAAACATATATTGTATTCAAGATTAATTTCTATTTGTCTGAAATGCAGTTATTAAGCCAAGACTCTGTGGTTTGACATTAATACGGAACATGTTTGAAAAGCACATATGAAGACAATAAATCCTACTGTGGTGTGGGTTACTTATATTCATATCACTAGTATATAACGGTGATCAGACACAGAATGTATTTCAGTAGAAGATTGATGAGGAAAGAATGGGAACGGAACGCAATTGGTATGAAAATGCACGAACAATGAGATCTGAGACAATGGATTGATGTTTGCAACAGGAACATTCAAGTTTGAGATGATGGATTGATATTTTGCAAATTAACGATTTACTATATGGTTGAGATTAGATGGTGGTTGGAGGTAGTCGACAGGAAACCCTGGACCCAGGTTTTGTGCTACTTGGCACTCATCAGCAAGGTATGCCTGTACTCCCTTGCGGATTTGATCTCGTGTCACCCAGCTTCACAGTCAGAGACGTTACCACTGAGCTATCCGAGCCGCGACCGACCTCCTGTAGGACTGAGATGTAATCACAATTGATTGATCACTGGGTGGCGACTAGACACGCATGACATTGATCACCATCCAGTGATCAATCAATTGTTCTCAGTTTTATTAAAATGCTCTGTAATTTCGTGTCAAATACAATCGATTGTCCCCACTGGTATTCTGTTCTCTACACTACAATACAGTCACTTTTATTGAATACAGTAATAGCAGTATGGAAAAAAGTTCACTGTTAACCATTATGGTTTCCTTCAAATCATTCAAAATAAACTAGCTATCTGAATAGTATTAAAATATAAAAACGTAGTTTTATGAAGAGTTATGAGATACAAAATTC